TAGTTATGGTCAGGTAAGTTTTCACTTACAACAGGCAAAGGAATGGCAATCTCGAAAATAAGCTTTCTACTATAGAAACATTTGCTCTCGAAATGTAAACTGCAAATATAGGTGTCCTTTACATCTTTCCATTTTAACCTTTTCTCCCTTGTCCAAAGGTCCTTGAATCCGCCTGGTACACTGAAATATTAGAATTTAAAATAAAAATCAAATAAATACGGTGGAGTATGTAATCGTTAAGCTCTTGTGTCTTGGTTAAAAATTTGCTGACCTTCCGGCCAATCCGGTCAGTTTGATTTACCTGTAAATAAATAAATTAGTACTACATGAAAGGTTGTGTTATATGGACATATACAGAGCCTTGAGTTTTGGCTAGAGATTGAGAGCCTTGAGTTTTGGCTAGAGATAGAGTCAGTGAGACTATAATTAGACTTTGAGTAGAGTAATCTCAGGACCTAGATTTATTACATGTACACCCTGACTTGACAGCGTCTTGTGGCGAACCCTTAACTAAAATACAATAAAAATTATTTAAACATATTTATTTACATAATTAAATTCTAATAAATTATGTTGCAGGTTGCATGTAATTTTCTTCTTATTCTTAATCCTCTTTGCAGTTCTGCAACCACCACTGAGCAAATCTAAATAGTTAAAAGTAATTCTTAAATTGCATTTAAATTAATAATTTAAATAATATTTATTCAAAATATTAATAAAATAATATTAATACTAATAATAATAATAATAATGATAATATTAATAATAATAATAACAATAATATAGTAAGGAGCATGAGGAGTAACGAGCCTTTCTACGTGGAGGATTAACGAACCTGTCTATGTGAACGAGCATGAGGATTAACGAACCTGTCTATGTGGAGGATTAACAAACCTGTATATGTGAAGGAGCATGAGGATTAACAAACCTGTCTATGTGAAGGATTAACAAACCTGTATATGTGAAGGAGCATGAGGATTAACGAACCTGTCTATGTGAAGGAGTAAGAGGATTAACAAACCTGTCTATGTGGAGGAGTATGAGGATTAACAAACCTGTCTATGTAGAGGACTAACAAACCTGTATATGTGAAGATGCATGGTGATTAATAAACCTGTCTATGTGAAGGAGCATGAGGATTAACAAACCTGTCTATGTGGAGGATTAACAAAGCTGTATATGTGAAGGAGCATGAGGATTAACAAACCTGTCTATGTGGAGGATTAATGAACCTGTCTATGTGAAGGAGCATGAGGATTAACACACCTGTCTATGTGTTAGTTACTTTTGACAAAAATGCATAAAATCTACTAACTGTTGTAAAATCCTTAATCAACCCCTCTTTATGCAGTTTGATTATTCATACAATGAATTAGTTTGTGCAATTAATGTTTTAAAGTTCTAGCACAGAAACCCAGCTTCGGTTGGAAAAAAATATTTATGTCTGTACATTTAAACTAACTCCACCCTAATAGACACTATTACTCCAATACATGCAAGGAGAAGAAACCCGCCAAAAACCACTTTACTTTATACATGGAACAATAGAATTTTTACCTTTTCTTCTTCCTCCCCCCCCCCTCTCCCCCTCCTTTCACAATACTGGTCACTTTTGTTCATAATGCAATATAAAACTTTTATAAAAAATGTATCTTTCTGTTGATTATTCCCTCCTAGCGGCCAGCATCACTAAAACTGAAGCCCTAGACCTTGATCTTTCAGTCCCCGCATCGGATATAGAATTAGCTAAACAAACCACAACTACTAGGATTTATCTAGATTTCAAAGTTTTTACTTCAACAGGTTTAACTTCAGACCAATCTGTACAAATTTTCAACGTGTTTGGAAACGACATTCAATAAAGTTGCATTTAATTTTTTTTCCAAAAACGACCGTTTTGATAAAGTTCGTCGTTTCGTTAACGATCGTTGACGACAACAAATCGTTTTAATAAAAACGATCGTTTTCAAAAACGATCGCTATTTGTTTTCTTAAAGTTCAAAACGAGTGGGTCGTTTTTAAAAACGATCGTTTTTTTCCGAAAACGAAACGATCGTTTTTGAAAACGAAACAAAAAACGATCGTTTAACGAACGTTTACAAAAACGATTAACAACCCTACCCCCACCACCACTTTAAACACTTTACACGTAAATCTGTCCTTTTAGTAAAAGTAAATTCAGCCTTTAAGAAGAATCAAGTCTGACCGCGTCAATCTTGTTGTACCGGCGAGTCCTGTCTATAGAACTAGGTACAGTACAAACTGAGACAGTACAGGTTGACCCGGCTCGGAAATTCAAATGCACTACGGCTGCCCGTGATATAAACTAGTTTGTTTTTAATCTTTTCGACAGAAACAATCTCAAGGAATAATAATTGTCTTCAAACATGTTTTAAAAAGTGAATATTTGCAAATTATCTTTTTTCCATCTCATAATCTGAGTTCGTTTCCCTTTTGTCCATTTGACAGCCCATTTAAATTTTTTTTTTGAATAATCTTTTTAGTTTGCATATTTTCTTGTGGTTTTTAACATTGACTTTGATGGTTATTATAACGTTAGAACTGACGAGGGTCAACCTAGACCGAAATATATTTTCAATAAAATGTGGAACTAACATCTACTTTTTTATCGCTACAGAGGTTTGGTCCATCACCATAAACGAATTTTAATTCAATTTTAAAGTATTTAAATTATCCAATCAGATTGGACATGGTTGTATCGCACATATCCTTACACACATTTTCAGAAAATTAATATGTACTTTACTAATTACGAAATTGTTTTGTATTACGTAATTTTGCGTAATGACACCTTAATTACGCGAAACTAGACTTTCTTTCGTGTACGTGATTAGCACGTAATTTCGCGTAATGCTCCTAGATGTAAGTGAAAGAGAAAGTGTTACGCTTAATTACGTGTAACGTGTAACGTAATTACGAATGGAAACCCTACATTAAGCATTCTTATTTCTTTTCTTACAAAGGACAGCAGTCATACATTTTCTAGCACTTTAACGTTTTAAAACAAAACTCAATCCATTACATTACTAACATGGAACATGTTACCATGCACAAGAAATATTTTTTCAACTCAGAACAGAAAGATACTTTCTTTTCTCATTTGTTTTGTTTAGACCCTTTGTCCCCCCCCCCCCTCTATTCATTTTCTCATTTTCAACAAAAACCAAAAAAAGTATTGGTTTATATTAATTAATTTTTTTGTATCCCTGTTGGTTATTGTATTATTCAATTTTAAAAAAAATGTTCACACATTCTTTCCCTGTTATTTGTTAATTGATTATGTTCAGTTATCTCTGTATGTGAAATCGATTTTGTTAACATACATGATACAGGGTGTCCCAATAAACATGAGAATTCAGTGACGAATTCGATATCGTCTTTTTCATGAATTAGCATTGTATAATACCTAATGTCTAAAATCATAAAATTGTTATGTCTAATAGAGTTTATTTCATGAAAATAGTAATTGCTGTAAAGATGTTTCTGCAAGATGAACAGTGAAGACAGACAAGTTTATTCTGTTTGTATCATAGATAAAGATAGATTGCGCATTTTTCATCTTGAAAGATATAAATGTACAGAGATGTTTTAAAGATATTCCTATTATATAGATTAACTAGGTCGGTTGTGATTGTGAACATTGGCTATTCTTATGTCATTGAGTACTTGTGGTGTACATGAGTTCTGTAGAGAGATATTTAAGTTAGTTTAGTCCTTCTCATGTCCTTCTTCAGTTCTCGTCAATATGAAATATTGCTCAGTGAAATATTGTTGTTCAAATAGTTCCATTCCCGGAGTTATTTTACACTCTATTATGAAATCCATTAAAACACCAAACCACCCCCCTTATCATTGAAGTACACTTTGACCCCTAGAAGTATAAGTTCGCCGACTGTACAATTTTTGGTGATTTTGCGTACATAAGCTATCTATGTTTATTTATTTACCTATGGTTTATATACTGTATGTAAATTTCTTGTTTTACTAATTACAACCGTATGCAGTCAAAACAAAAACAAACAAATTGTAAACAAAGCAGACGAAAATCTTACGGATTAAGCTTTCTCAGTAGGTATTACTCTATTAGATCAAAGAATTATTTAAAAAGACGATATCAAATTCGTCACTGAATTCCCATGTTTATTGGGACACCCTGTATACCTTCAAATAACTATTAAGACTACTAAACTAGCAACTGCAATTCTAATAAAACTAAAAGATAATTAGTGATTCCTCCAATCTCTTGTGTTGATAAAAGCCCCTATCATGGAAATAGAACTGGTCAGTCTCAACAGTAACCGTCTCGAACCCCAAACCTTAACTTATGCAAAATTATTTCAGGCCGTAAAATCAGGTTTAGACATCTCTTTATCCACCAGAACGTACTATAAAACTAACTAGTAGCTAGGACAGAACGATTAGAAGATTTTCTGCAATCTTAGACAGTTCAGAAATAATAAATATCTTTTCTCACTTCATCACCTAATCAGGCAGTACAATCTCAAAATATCTAGATTCATAAAAAGTCTCCAGATCAATATCTGCACCTGGGAACTCTGCCTGCATAATATGGTTATTAATGAACCCCGACTTCATTGTTTCCTTCTGTCTATCACGCAGATTTTTGATCTATAAAATAAAAAGAGTGATTCCAAAACCTGAAAACCATAAATACAAGATTTTTCTTTTTATCTAAGCATGGGGACTGGGGAGTATGTGCGTAGTTCGCCCATACTCTAGCAACACAAACATATTTTTGTGTAAATCCTATTCCACGAGAAGAAGAGGATATTGATGAAGTAGATGAAAACCTCAATGTTAATTTGAATATTAGGCAGAGTCAACCAAAACTTTCTAGATGCGGAATTTGGTTTAGCCTCAGGCATTCTCTAGGCGCACTCGAGCCAATAAATAACCTGAGCTATTCTGTGGTTCCCCTTTATGCGAGATCTTGTTTTTACCAAACCCACCCATCCCAAAAATCTGTAGCGCAAGTTCCAGCTTTTCCCTCCTTCTTTGGGTCTATAAAAAGGCTGAAATGTTTTTGTTTAAAGCAGTAAGTAATCAGACTGGAAGGGCTCCAATATCAGGTCTGGTTTATTTTAGTTATGGTATTTATTTTCAAACACAAAATACAAAATAATAATGCATGATGGTTCAGCTTAAAATAAAACACAAAAGAAAATTTATTATGAGCCAATTAAGAGTTATCACTTACATAAGTTAATATATTTAAAGATATATTATTTTTAAGAGTTATCCCTTAAAGCTGAACTAAGATGAAGTGTTCAATTCTGTTCCTCATTCTTTTTGTTGGATTCTCTTCTGGATTCTTTTACAGGTACATTTTTGTAGAAAACCACAGATTACAGTGATAACCAGAAAACAGTGGAAGAAGAAGACGACATTTTAGAAATACTCGATATGTTTTTTAAAAGCAAATAGTTTGAATAGTATCTTATTAAACCAGTTGTAAAGTTAAATGTGAATGTTTATATTGTTAACACTGCACATTAGTTGTGTGTGTCATGTTCATTGGACTGATTAAAGCCATAACTTAAGTCTAAAAGTCGTTTTCCTATTCCAGAGTTTTCTGTTTCTTATTGTAGAGGAAAGGGGATGTAGTTTTTATTTTAACTCTAGCAAAACTATTGTAACATTGATAACACAAGATAAAAATATGTTTCAGTGGAACTTAGTTTTTTTGCCATAAACTCAAATATTCTTCTTTGTCCTTATGGTGTAAACTTTTGATAATTCAAACTTAAACCATTTGATTTGCAAATGAGACTGATTGTTGAATGATACGAACCAGTGCACACATTGACCGGTTTATAGTGTTCACTTTGACCAGCCTGTCTAGTGTACTTAGTAGTGGTTGACCCAGCGCGTTTTATGCAACATAACTAGACGGGCTGCGGTCCTAACTCATAAGTGGTTCTAACAGAATTCATAGTTTGACATATCAAAGGTCTACTACATCAGGTTGCAAAGATATAGGGATTAAAAAATTAGAGTTTGGCTATGTTCACATATTGAGCATGGAAAAAAAAGTATGTACTTTATAACATTTAATCTTTATTTACAAAGAATTAGCCAGAGATCTTGCAATTCTGACAGGGAATGTCCTGCTATTAGAAGGTGAGATTAGATTAATATTATTTCAAGAAATACACTTTAAAATCATTTTTTAACGATTTTACCAAAACACTTAATTAATTCTTTAGGCCAATTTATTGAAGTATAAATCAAAAACAATTTAGATGAAAATATTGACAATTATTATTTAACCATTGGTTATAATAGTTAAGGATGTATTTAAAGTCTTTTCTCATAGAGATAAATACTGACAAAACTCTAGAGAAAGGCTTTTAATTAATCTGTACAGTGTACACATTGATTTAAAAAAGCCGTCCTTTGGTACAGTGGTAGGCAGTGGCGCTGGATCTTAGCTACCTCTCGGTGCAAGGAGAATAGAAGGATAGGGGTTCCGTACACTTTGCTGTGACGTTTTTGGACTGCTTAAGAACTAGTTTTTGAGTAACAACAATAACAAAGGCAGCCGATCTAATGTAAACAAACATGGTTAGTATACGGTGAATCTTCATCTAACGCGCCAGAGATGCCAGATGTCTGTTTATCCTTTGTGTTATTGTTTACAATCTTTATTATTGTTGTTACGCAAAAACTAGATCTTCAGCAGTCCAAAAACGTCACAGCAAAGTGTACGGAAACCCAATCGCCCCACTACACTACTCACACTACAGTACAGTACAGTACAATACAGTACAAATATCAAATATGCAGTACGCTTTCAGAGTATCAAGTGTATTGGGAGGTTTTGTATCTTGAATTTTACTTAGTTTTCTCAGACCAGTTTATTAACAATGAAATATTGCTCTGTAAAGAACTGTGAAAATGAAATTGCACACGATATAGGAGTAGTGGATTTTAATAGTTACAGGGAAAACAAATTCTCCATTTAGATATTTTCAGATCTCACCCCCCGAGTACTATAATATACAGATTGACCTTTGGAAGTGAAGTACATGACCTGTTCAATTAGTAAAGGATTAGCGTACACCATCACTCTATATACTATAACCTCGTTGGTGGTAGGCGATTATATCAATACAACAAAGACGACTTTCGATTTCAATTTTGATTCATATCATATAAACATAGAAGTCAAGGGAAGCTGCCAATTAACAAGTTTTTCTTTGATTACTTATAAACTTGTAATTCGAAAAAACTTGTTAATAATCAAAACTTAAATACAAAAGTCGTCTTCATTGTCTTGATCTCGTTGCCTACCACTGCATATCAATTTAAAATTTGGTGTTAATGATGAACCAAACCTCATAGAGTTAATAAAGTAGATGTTAGTTCCACATTTATTAAAAATATATTTCGGTCTAGGTTGACCCTTGTCAGTTCTAAGGATATGATAACCAGCAAATCAAATAGTAATTGTTTTGAACCACGAGATAATAAACAAACAAAAAAGATTTTTCAAAAAAAAGGTACAGTCAGATGGAAAAAGGGAAACGAACTCAGATCATGATATTAAAAAAGATAATTTGCAAATATTCACTGTTTAAAGAATGTTTTAAGACAATTATTATTCCTTGAGATTGTTTCTGTCATGAAAAATCAAAACAAACTTTACGGAAATTGGAGAGGGGGTTAATAAGTATCGTAAGTAATATTTTATTTATGAAATATAACAAAAATATACACAATCAAGTGTTTCAGGAGAAAATATTTGAAAACATATAAAAATTGAGGTTGTGGGAATATTTCCACCAAATTCTAAAAAAATAGAAATAAAAGGAAAAGGAAAGGAAAGGAAAGGAAAGGAAAAGAAAAGTTACATATTAATTCTTTACATTATATTTAATATGAACTGGTGGATTGTTAGTTTTTTTTTCGATGGTGAAAAAACAACTTTAAGAAATAAAAATGATGTATAAAAAAATAGGCTTTATGGGTTGTAAAAAAGATGTAGGTTCTACGCAAAACGGGAATTTTTAGGCATCTTTTTAATTCAAGCTGATTTTTGACATCCTTTATGTTTGATTATATCTTTGATTATATCTTGGAGCCCAACTAACCAAAACCCGTGAAGAACACAAGATTATCGGATGTATTTCACACGAGTGGCATGTGATTGTGAATATCCCGTGATAATTCATGTGTTTACAAGGTGAATCAGAATGTCGACGATTTTTTACACGGGAAAACTTGAGTTTATTTCACCAGATGTACACGGGATTTTTACATGAGAAAATTATTTTCCTCCAATCAACTTAACATACATTTTATAAATCCCGGGAAAGGGGTGTGGGTTAATAAAAAGTTGATTTTTGATATATTATTATAGAAAATAATACTGTGTAAAAGTATGTAATCATACCAAAATGTTTAGTTTATCTTTTACATAAAACATATATATTGATCATACTTTAAAGATCAATTTTTACACATTGATACTTTAAGTCCACAGAATTTTCAACGATGTTGATGTATTAATAATTTCATGCAAGTTCCTTCCTACTTATATCTAAAAGATGGATATTTCAAAAAGGGGTTGTTGAGAAATACAATACAAAATTTAATGTGAAACTTTTCTTTACTTTCCTCATGTTTGTTCTAATCTGAAAACAATTTTGTCAATTAAAATATTTTATTTTACTAAAATATAATTTTAGTTTCTAAAAGATGAGCAGAGACACCAAGTGTTGTGATTTTGCAACTCTGTTAAAAACGAAACATGAAGTTCTTCCCATGATATCTCAAATATTTTACTCATGATGTTTACAAGAATGAAAATCAAGATATTCTGGAATTACATTACTCATGATTAACGTACGGTGGATATATGCGAGATCTTGCACTGTTTTTTTTTGCTACGTGCACTGCATAACATGCTAGTATATTTCTTCACTTTCTATCCGTGATTTACATGGGATTAATCTTGAAAAGTAACTTTAGCACGAGTATAACACAAGGAGGGGTCGTAATTTGAAGGGAGTGTTCGCGAAAAATGAAAGGGGGTATAGACTTAATGCGATAAAAAAATGCTTTTGATCGCTACCAAAATTGAAATTTGAATTGAAATTTCATAATATTTTGTATTTTTCATGATCTGAGAGTTTCTTTTGAAAACATTTATTCCTGTTTCGAGGATTTTTGACAATGAAGACGACATTTTCAGTGTGAGTCGTTTTTAACAATTTTCTCCTTGTAGACGCAACAGATAGAAGATTAGAAGCGATCAAAAGCGCCTTAAGCCTATACCCCCTTTCATTTTTCGCGAACACTCCCTTTAACACACGTGATATATCAACCTGTTCTGCACAAGCTAATCTTGTTGCAAACCTTTGTCTTTCTTGTTGGAAGGCGGCTTATTTGAGCACAAACATTGTAACGGAACAGTTTTTAAAGGGAGGGACTGGCTAGGATTGTTAGTTGAACTGAGAGTGCAGTGTTAGTGAGAAATATTTTAGGATTCATTCATTTTTCATTCATTTCAGGATACCAATGAGACATTTTTACGGGTTTAATCGTAAAAATGTCTCAATCGACTACTTTACCTCCCCCTTTAATTAGGAGATCATCATATACCCGTTTTCTTGGCATATTTACAGCACGAGTTGACAGTTTGGGTGAGGTTATCTCGAGCGGAAGGTCAGTAAATGAGTCTTAATTAAAGGGACTGGCGTTGGAATTTTAATTGACACTCCATTTAAAAAGAGGGGCATGTCCGATTCAAACCTTAATGTGGAAAATAAAGTCATTATTTGGCCTTTAATGAAATATGAATTTTTAAAAATTATGAATGTTCCATTTGTAATTACAATTTAATTACAGAATAGCAATACTTATTAAAACTTAGACATGCGCTCATGTGAATTTGCTATGCACAAAATAATCTCAATTTTACCTCCTTTTGAGCTTGTCCAACAACACCGGTTTAAGATTCCCTCAACAGCAATATGTTTAGCTTCCTAGCTGTCCCTTGGGACAATTAGGTAAAATAACATCCCACTTTGCAAAGTTTTCGTAAAAAAAAATCACGCCTTTTTATTATAAAAGACAAAAAAATCCAGAAACTTCTCTGTAAAAAATATAATTCAGATTGAAATAAATTTTTAGAAGAAAATAAATAAATCATGAATAATATGGTTTCTTATATATCTAGGTGTTTGACACAAAGTGATGGACTTTGTCAGTTTGGAAGTAAGTTATGGATAAAATAAGTTTATTCATCCTTGTTTTTTCTTATTTCATTCAACTTTATTTGTAACAAATAAGATATTTTAAAATTTTGTAAAATCAAATTTTGTAATATCAAATTTTGTAATATCAACAATCTATGAGATAAATTTATTTGATCATGAACCGTGTAAACCACGAATTTGCTTTCAAAACACGCGAAATAAAGTTTCTGGGATATTAGCTTTGGCGGTAGAGATGTCAACGATTGTGCAACAAAACATTAAATGTTCAATTTTACGTAACGTTATGTCACACTCTGAGAACGTTAATTGGCTTGTTGTGTACATTTACAATAATAGAAAACGTTTTGGGAACTTTTACTTAATGTTATTGTTTTACGTTTTTTATGTAACGTTACTTTATGTCATGCCATTTAAAAAATGTGCAACTTAAAGTTTTAAACGTCATAAACTTCTGATGAACACTAGCGAATGTTGACATCTCTACTTGACTTTCCTAATGCAATACACTTTTCTAAAGATAAAGTTATAATGGTTCCAGAACTAGATTTAATAAATAGTTGAACTACATATACATAGTTCAATCACTTCTCTTGAGCACTGGTTCAAGTTGAAGAGAAGAGTTTAAACTTAGTCAACATAGTTCAACTAATTCTTACTGTTCCCTAAATTTTGTTACCTAAAAGGATAAGATTTTAATGACGGCCATAACATCAATTTAAACCTGATAGTTTGAAGGTTTAGTTAGGTCATCTGCCTTAATTCCGTACAGTCGTCGCTGAAGTCTCATCCTTTGTGGTTTACCCTGTAAAAATTAAATCCACCAAAACTCTCTTTAATCCAGATTTCTTGAGCGGAGGAAGGAACAGCTGTAATGTGCGGCGCTGCGCACAATGTTTCTCTGGTCTAGATTGTACGAGATGTCAAACCTGTGACAGAAATACTTGCGCTGGACGATGTGAAGACTGAAGACAATCGTCGCTGAAGTCTCATCCTTTGTGGTTAACCCTGTAAAAATTAAATCCACCAAAACTCTCTTAAATCCAGATTTATTGGTGGGAGGGTGGAACAGCCGTAATGTGCTGCACACAATGTTTCTCTAATCTCGATTGCTATGGATGTCAAAAATGTAACAAAAATATTTGCTCTGGACAATGTTACTCTTACACTCCCACTCCTGTTCTTTGCTAAATAAAAGAATTTTTGTGTAAAATAAAACTAATCTGTTCTTAACATTTTAATATTTTTTGTTGTTAATAAATTGGTGTTTCAAAATAAACATGGGAATTACCAGCTGAATATGCAAATGTATGTTATCAACACTTCTATGTTACTGTATTTCTAGTAAAACAACTAACTTCATATTTCATATTTCATATTTTTATTCATCTACAAAGCATGAGTGTTGACAGATAACAGTGACACGACAGATGAACTAGTTTATTTAAGGCCCGTCTGAACTCCGGGTAGGTAACTAAATACAGTCCGGATAATTCCTTGGTCGATCGGCCACAAACACACACCACAGAGTAACCCCGTCACTAGAAATCGATAACAAAAAGCTTTATTTCCTAAAAAATAACATAAATTATAGGTCATGGTTACTTGTACAATGTTATAATAAATGTTAATAATAATTTATTTTTCCATGGTTCGGGGAAACTTATTGTTGGTCAGTATTGAAATTCTATTTTTAAACTTCTGAAAAAATTACAGCTGAATATTTTACGAAATTCACTAATGCTTCATATGAAATATTTTGTTTAACTTTAATGATTTCACAATAACAAAAATGGTTGAAGTTCCGTGGTGTCACAAAGAACAAAGAGTATGCGGGCTGAAATAATTTGGTTTGGCCTGTCTCCGAGAGGAAATTTTACGTTGAAGACGACATTATCCAGAGGTCTTAAAGTTAATGGTTAACAATGAGATATTAAAAATAAGCAACCACAATTTACTATGCAGTTTAGACCCGCCTAACCAGGGTTGGTTGTTTTGAGGGTTGGCCCGAAGTTAATTAACGATAATGAATATAATTGGTTACACATATCAAGTTATATTTTAGGATAGGTAAGGAGTTGATTGGAAGCAAGGAGATTGTCAGGTGATCTGTGGCAGGGTGAGATCAGAGGGATTTTAATGTAGAGATAAATTAAAATACAGGGTGTTAAGGATGATAGATACAGAAACAGAAATAAGCTAATAAAGTTTTAGTTATTTTAGTTTTTTATATAAAATTTATTTACATGATATACAACTAGGTTTTTCGCATTTAATCCTCTCATAATTCTCAAAATAAATATTGATTACTCTTTTTTAAATATTTTTGCAGATTTAGTTTCTTTAAGGTCAATTTCAATTTCATTCCACAATTTAGGAAACATTGCGGACGGAAAGCTTTCTAAATTTTTGTATAAAACCCGTTCTAATTTATATGATTTTGTTCTATTCGGTTCAGCTAAAGACTTAAACATATTTTGGAAGGAAGAGGGAAGGTTATCATTAAAGTATCCATGCTAAATGTCAGAACACAAAGTTTGTATGTATCTATAAGATTAAGAACTTTCAGTTTTGAAAATAATGGATTTGAATGTGCCTTGAAAGTTCTCTTTTTAACCGCTATGATTACCTTTTCTTTGCAAAGATCTGATTTTTTGCAGTTTAGCGGTTTTTTAACCCCTCCCCAAGTAACAATTCCATATTCAATATGATGCCTTACAAGAGAGTTATAAACAAGTAGACGAATGTTTAATGGTAAGATATTCTAAATTTGAGACAAAGCAAAGATTGAGCCAGCAATTTTATTCGAGATATGTTCAATTTGAAAATCCCAGTTTGAAAATTCGTCAAGTTTAAGTCCATCAAATTTGAAATATTTGTTCACACAGTCATTACCAATTCTTTCAAGTATCTCATTTCCTATTGATATATTACAACTGTTGGGTTCAAAGTGCATATTTCTATTTCAAAATACTATATACTATATTTTGAAGGCATTTAGTGTCAAACGATTTGCTTGAAACCATTTTGCTGCTTTTTTTAGTTCAGTGTTTGCATCAAGTATTAGGCTCTCAATGTCAGGAGATGACTTTAAAAAACTCTGCAAAGAGGCTGGTAAAAAAAGATGTTGCTAAGGGCAAATACTTTATATAAAGAAGAAACAGCAGAGGCCCTAGAGCACTTCCTTGAGGAACACCGCATGTTATAATTTTTTCTGTTGAAAAAACTCCATTTATACACACATATTGAGTTCTGTTAACCAGATAATTTTTAAACCAGTTTTTGGCTACATTTTTGAAACCATAATGAATTTGTTTTTTAAAGGTATGTCTAAATCACAACAATCAAAAGATTTCTTTAGTCTAGGAATATTCCAAGTGTAAATTCTGGTTTAGATTTATTAAGGGTTTCATAGATTTTATTCATTGAGTGCAAAAGTTGTTGATTTGTGTTATGTTTAGGTCTAAATCCATATTGGTGCTCGTAAAAGATGTTAAACTTATTAAGATATCTGAACATTTTTACTGCAGCTATTTTTCAAGTAGCTTACTCAAAACTGGAAGAATACTTATAGGTCTTTCATTATTAAACTTATCTTTTTCGTCCGCTTTAAAGATGGGAATAATTTTTGCACATTTATACTCGCTAGGAATGTATCCTGTTAAAAGAAAGATTAATTAAACATTTTACTGCTCAATTTTTCCAACATTATTGTCTTCCATTTTTTTCTTCAATAAAAGATTTAAACACTTTTGTGGAACTGGTTTTAGTCTTTATATAAAACCGTTTTACTTAATGTTTTTTAAATCTATTTAAATATTTTTATCGAGAGAATGCTCAACATTTGTACTTTTTATGTCTGCAATTAAACATTTATAAAGTTACAACCATTTAAAAGATGAGACCCACACTCCAATGGATTAACAATAGAAACCTTAAAAGTCAAATTTTCAATTTTTATTAATTATAAGGAAAGAAAACATGTTTTACTTTTTGCTATATTCATTAAGTAAAAAAAAAAACATTTTGTATGTTTATTTGTCTTTTCTCAAGTATTTTACAGAAACCGTAGAACCTTAATCTAAGAAACAATGAGGTAGATGTTGTCTCTTTTCTGTCTTAAAAAGCGCTAAATTTTCAAAATGGCTTACATTGTCTCCATAACATAATTCATAGAGAAACTGCATTTAGAAGTAATCAACATTATATAAAAACTAAACAAACCTCATTAATCCGTTATCAGGAAAAGGTTTGCATAAAGGTTACTGTTGTGAATCGAACATGAAGTCCAGTCTTTGTTTATAGATGGATAGGATGCCTGTCAAATTGCGAGATACGATGCGGGGGGTTTTCCGAAGATTTTCTAAAACGTTAAATATATAACCTGTTCCTAAACCTGACACTCAATGTCAGGTTTAGGAACGTAAGCACGGTTTAGAACTTTAGCCCCCTGGACGAGCTCTCTGAGAAATTAGTGAGATCATCAGATCTCCCTCGTGGGGCCTCAACCAGGCCGGACAATGACCCTGACAGAGAGTTCCCCTATTTCATTGTTATATACAGGCAACAAGAAAGCAACAAATATTAAAGCAGCCCCACCGTCCCCGAACCAACCAGACAGAGAAGCATTCGGTTTCTTTTATTTGAAATCAAACAAGTTTTGGTCTATAATTCAACACTCTTCAAACTTACAGATCTATATATTTTATACTTTTTTATTCAAAATGTATACACCAACAAAAAATTATGTCAGAAAAAAGGGCTGTAAAATTAAGTATGAGGGGTCAGAACCGTTAAATCCACGTGGCCCAGACCACTGCACCACGGTGCTATGGAAACGCCTCAACACGGACACGCCTCAACACGGAATTGGGCCCAAAAAAAACGGAAACCTCCCCAAAATGAATTTTTTTGAGGCGTTTCCTGTTTTTTCAAAAATTATCGGAAATCCCTCAAATCCAATTTTTAGAGGAATTTCCCGTTTTTTTTTATCCGTTTCCTCGAATTTTAGGTCGGATTCCGGTTTATCAGGGTCTTATATTGTTGAGGGATTTCCCAATATTTTCGATCCGTTTCCTCATTTTTTGGGTCCGTTTCCGGTTTTCAAAAAAAGTTTCAAATTCTCAGTTTGTTGATCAGTTTCCTCTTTTTTGGGGTCCGTCTCCTCATTTTTTGGGTCCGTTTCCGGTTTTCAAAAAAAAATTTTAATTCTCAGTTTGTTGATCGGTTTCCTCTTTTTTTGGGTCCGTTTCCTCTTTGTTGGGTTCGTTTCCGATTTTCAGAAAAAGTTGTAAATTCTCAGTTTGTTGATCATTTGGCGCACACATGCACAGAATTGAATGACTCATATCGTTAATTTTACAGTTGTTGAAAGTATAAATTTTTAAAAAAACACAAGAAAAAAAAGATTTGAATTAAACACCAAATCTGCATGCAACAACTGATAAATTCCTTTTTTTCGACGTCAAATCCTTAAAAAAGCACTTTTATCTTGAACATTTTTTTAAAAGGGGGGCAAGCCCCCCCCCCACACCCCAAACCATTACAAAATAATATTTTGCCCCCCCAGCAAAAGTGCTAGTTGCGCCTCTGGAAATTAGAATATAAACAAAGACAATATTTTTTCAAAGTTTTACAGAGTAGCATTTCTAAAGATTAAAAAAGTAACATCCTTTTCCACTTAGAGTAAAACTATTTTTCATTGTTCTTAAAATAAATTCAGTTTTTTTGTAGTTAATGTAAAATGAATGACTATAATGAAGAATATAAAACAAAGTGAAAGCTGAAAGTTAGGAAATAAAGCCATTACTAGGTGGAGTTTGGAAATGCCAGAAATGAGTGGAAAATGCAAATCAAACCCAACTAAAACCAATAATTTGATATACATCCTGAAAATTACCCAAAAAATGAGGAAACAGACCCAAAAAAGAGGAAACCTATCAACAAACTGAGAATTTAAACTTTTTTTGAAAACCCGAAACTGAGTGTATTTGATGAAGTTATAAAGTAAATATATTTTCTAGTTGCTAAAAATCATCTTAGTAAGTGGACACTGCAACATTTGCAGTGTCACATGTTCATTGTAATTTATAAAACCCCTGTTCGTTGTATTCTATATGGAGACGACTGTAGGTACAGTTTTAATTATAGTTTTATATCATAAAACTTTTCTTTGTTGCCCATATCATCTGGCTTTTTTGATGTTTATGTATATAAAGTAGTATTTTCTCTTTTTGTTTGTATGTCTGATCAGAACTCATGAACACCGATTTGCCTAAAGCGTTGAACTGAACTCGGTAGTAGAAACACTAAATTGTTCTTTTTAATAGGTTTTCAATAAGCGGATCAATTAAGATTGCACACAAACTCAAATTTTCTAACCCCTATACCGCAACCTGATCAGATTATTTTATATAGCAGAATTCATAGTTTGAAATATCTTAGGTCATACGATAATATGTTGCAAAGATTTAGAAATTAAAATGCTGAGTTTGTGGCAAATACTTATTGGTTTACTTTGGTTTGACGTGTTTTAACTTATTTACTAACAGATATCTGACTCTGAGGTCAGAAGTGCATCAAAGAAGTAGTTGAACTAGTAATACCGAGTTCAACTTCTTCTAACTATTGAATAAACCCAATCACTGCATTTGGATTTATTCAATAGTTAGAATTTTTTAAAAATTTCAAACCAAAGGCATTTTCTACAAAGAAAGGAATTGAGTTTTAGTCACAAACTCAAACATTCTAGTTCCTATATCTTGCAACCCGATGTCGTTGACCTTAGATATTTCAAACTTTGCTTCATGTCCTGATTCTAAACCTCCAAAAATAGAGGTTGTGGGAATATTTCCCCCAATTCTAAAAAAATTGAAAAAATAGAATTACATTACATTAAATATAAACTAGTGGTGGATTGTTAGTATTTTTTGACGATGAACTAACAACTTTTAGAAATAAAAATGGTAGATTTATTTATAATGTTAAAAAAAATAAAGTAGACATTATGAAATGTGGAAAACGGGCATTTTTAAGTATCTTTCTAATTCGCGCCGATTTTTGACATCCTTTATGTTTGATTATATCTTTTACTCTTTTTAATCTATTTAGTCTTTTCTTTGTAAAATCGTCTTTGCTTTCTTCGATTCTTTTACAAACATAAAATGTATTAGAACTAAAACATTTGTTCTTCTGATAAAAATCTTCAATTAAAATCTGTTTAAAATTCGAAATAAGATTGATATTTGAAAGCTTAGAAAAGTGTCATTTATTTTCATACCATATTTTAGGGAAATTGTGAGGGGGAGCAGTCCCATTTTAATAGATTTTACTCTTGGAATATAAAAATCATTTCTGTTTCTAAGATTTGTGCTTTAGATATTTTTTGATAATGTGAAATCTTTTTTAAATGTTGGGGGTAATTGGTCCAATTTTTTATTTTTTTTATAAATGGGAATAGTTCAGCTAGACATTTTCCAACAATTAGGGAATACCCCTGTCTCAAGGCTTAAATTATAAATGTAAGATAAACCATTATTTAAACCTTGACAAGTCTCGATCTAGAAGATTTAACCGAATGAAGAAAACATAAAGAGACAAAATTTGCCTAATTTTACGGATAACAACAAGAAGGCATAAAAAGAAAGGTTTTTTGGTAACTAATAATTTGGTAACTAACATTTTGGTAACTAACAATTTGGTAATCTGATAATTTGGTAACCTGACAATATGGTAACCGGCAATTTGGTAACGAACAATTTGTATAATTGAAACATATATTTCACAATAATTGTTTGTATATTTATTTGCTGAATAAAAAGAGAAAGTAAGTCAATATGCAGGATTTCCTAAAAGTTTAGCATGCCAAATCCGTGAAAACTGTTTGTAAACTCGGCCCCCTAGCCTGTCCTAACCTACCTAACCCCACATACCGGATATCATTGTATTAGTTTTGATAAAAAAGGCCGCAGCGCTCGGCACCCTAGCCTCTCCTAGTTCCAGCGCTCGGCCCAGAAATGGTCTTAACCTAACCTAACTCCACATTTCGACTAACAATTTATGATTAGTTTGATGAATGGGGCACTCGACCCAGATATTGTTTTAACCTAACATAACCCCACCAATCGGATATCATTGTGTTTGTTTTGATAAACATGGCCGCAGTGCTCGGCCCCGTAGCCTGTCCTAGCCGCAGCGCTCGGCCAAGAAATCGTCTTAACCTAACCTAACCAAATTGTCAGATTACCAAACTGTCTAGGAACCAAATTGTTAGCTACCAAATTGTTAGTTACCAAATTGTCAAGTTAGCAAATTGTTTTTACCAAATTGTCATGTTACCTAATTGTTAGTTATCAAATTGCGAGGTTACCAAATTATTAGTTCCCAATTTGTCAGTTACCAAAATGTTAGTTACCAAATTATTAGTTACCAAAACTGCGCCCGACAAATATTTTCTAATAATTCTTTCGATTTGTAAGTCGAAACATTTGTATGAGATAGCGCCATGCTCTTATGATTTATAATATTTTACTTTGGTCAATTATTTTCTCCTCTATATATATATATATAGAGTAGTAATCTCGTTTTGATTATTGTATGTTCGATCCTAACTCTTAGATCCCTGGACCGATTTGCCTCAAATTTCGATTGAGAGAACTCGGGGCACCACAGGAATGTTCTTAGCTTGGTTTTACATTTTAGATTAAGTGGGTCGACTTTTAACGGGAAAATTAGCTAAAATCAAGAATTTCGATCCAGTGCGGATAAACGGCGGGAGTAACTACGAGTAACCTGGGCAGCGGCGGGTTCCCAAGCTGGTATTTAAAAAATCAGAAAAAAAATTTGAAAAAAAAGATAAATTATTGTAATTAAATCGGGGAAGGTATTGGATAACATATGGTATTATTATGTTAAATACGAGGCTCCTTTCTTTGCTTACCGAGAGTCTTCCAGTTATAACTGAACCAAAACACAGGTATAAGCTCACAACTGCTTATCTTAACAAAAATCTGTGTTTTCAACAAAATATGAATTGTGAATGATTTGGCCTAAAATGTGCTTTGCCAAGTTCATCGATTAAACAAAAATGATTCGAGTTTATTTTATTTAAAAATCGATCTTCTTTGAAAACATATGTTGTCAGCTTATCTTTATTATTCTTAAACTCTATTTTAATTAATAGTTAGTTAATAGTATAATCCTAGGTTCAAGCTTCAGATTTCTATCTTATAAAACGGACAGTTATATTTTTTTATGCAATTCTGATACAATTTTTTGATGCAAGAGAAATATGAAGAACAACATATGTTCAGAAACTTAACAGAACGCGAATCTCTTATCGGGCACTAAAAAGAGGGATTACAACACTATTTTTGATTTTAAAGGATATATACAAACGTAGTTTAAAGCAAACCCTCATTAATAGATTGGTGTGTATGATTCACAATGGTACCCTTAAAGAATTCATCTAAGCCCGCAATTTAAAAACTTCGGCTCGAGTCGTAATTCCTTAAACCCGACTTTCAGACCCAATCTTCGACTCGACTTAAGGAGTTAGGCACAATGAAAATAAAACCAACCTTGGTTGGTTTTAGTGGAGAATAAGCTCAATCTTGCTTTTTGTTCTCATAAAAACCCGGAATGCGCCAATTAATACCATGAAAATTCGCCAAATAGAAATATTTAACCAGATTTTCAAACTCAACTCTGAGGAAAATAAGATGCAGCTTGAATCCGAAAGCTCAAGCCGTAAATAAGGCCCAACGGCAGCTTAGACCCGAGCCATATTTTCCCGAAATTTTTAAATCATGGGCTCTGATTCAGCATGAATCAGATTTTCATATTTTGTTAATGAAAACTGCTTTTTGTAATTTTTAGTTTCTATACAAAAATGATTTGAGCAATCAGCATTTCCATGGTTTAGACACAATCTGGAGAAATTTTTAGAATCTCATTTAAATTATGAAATCAAAAAATCCCTTATATTAAACTGAAAATCGCTCATTTTGCAAGAAAAGTTAGGTGACTGTCAAAAAAGTGATTTTTTCTTGAATTTATAGTGTAGCATAAAAAAAATAATTGATTCTATTAAGAAGTCTAGGGTATTGATTGTTGTGAATCGGGCTTTGCATGAAGGGTCACTTGAAATTACTCTTAAAGAATTATATTTTGTAGGGGCGTATTCAGGAATTTGTCCAAGCGGAGGGGCTTACAATTTTTCCTTTCCGTAGGGTTCAGCACCCTTTGGGGCCTGCAAACCCCTTGGATATCCATAGATTTCACTGGTCCAAGGAGGACTAAGTCCCCAGTCCCTCCCCCCCCCCTCCCGCTGAATACGCCTCTATGTTTACAATTTTCATTTTGACCCATGAAAGTGAAAAGTTTAACTCATTTAAAAGTTTTATTCTCAGATTGATTTGAAATACATAATTTTTTAAAAAGGAACTTCAAAATTTACAACCTGATATTTCAAACTATAAATTCTGAATGAGCAAAATAGAAAAGTTTTAGATTCCAGGTTGCAAAGATAAAGGGTTTAGAAAAGTTTGTGGGGAGTAATGACTGAGTTCCTTGTTATAGATGGGTGTAGCTTGGTTATTCCTGGGCCTTTGTATTTGGTCCAAACAGTCCTACGGAGCTTCAGTTCTTGACTTAGCAGAGCTCGGTAAGTTTTTTTTTATCCATTAAAGGTTGGGGTTAGGGGGGACATGTCTAACCTTTGAGGTGGCGTCGTTGCCCACCCTTTTGGAAATCTTTAGGTTTTTGACAAGAAGAAACAAGAAAAGAAGTTCGAAAGCATTTTTTGAAATTACAAACATTCATTTCGATATTTTAAACAGAATGTTGGGATATATCACTATTTTACATATCCCTATCGTTCTGTTGGTAATTTGGAAATGCTGTCGGTGAGATCAATGAAGAAAAAAATGATAGGTTTGGTAAATTAAGAATCTGGGTATTAGATACAATTTACAAAAACTAAAAATTAAGTCGTAAAAATGAAAGAAAATGTTATTTTAAATCAGTTAGGCTTTAAGATTTTGATATACAGGGTTACCCACAAAGCATGAGACTTCAGAGACGACTGTACAGAATTGATGCTGTCTGTTTCCCTACATTCACATTTCCCTAGCTGGAACTGTTTACTTGTTTCTTTCTTTGGCAAATCATTAAATATGCAATTAAAAGAGTTTCAGGTCGTCTTTGCAGTCTTATTCTTCGTTTATCAAATTATAGAACATAAGCCGTTTCTCATTCTCTCTTTTTTATTAACAGAAAACTGGGTACTCTTTGTCCTCTCCTTTATTTCTTTTAGTTATGAAATTGACAAGAAATAAATCGTTCATAACAATTTGTATGATACAAAATTCAAAATTCTTTTCGCTGTTTCAAAAAGAAAAAATGAAGACGACAATCATTCAATTATTTATTCTTTTGATTTTTCTAGTTTCTGAGTATGAAGATGAGATATTGGGCCGAGCAGTGGGATTCACTCACCAGGATCCAGAACCACAGGTACAGGTACAGGTACAGGTACAGGTACTCCTGTTAATTCTTCAAGGGTTGGTTCGCCTTTTTTCTTGGTTTGCAAGATATTTAAAGTCCAATCTGTTGGATGTGTTCATTAAAGTTAATTTTAAATAAAAAAATAAATATTGTGTGTTTAAAACTTGTAAAGATCCATAATGATCTGAAGGAAACGGAAATATTTTCAACTCACGCAGTGAGATTTCAAGTAAAACCAGTATGATTGTTTTGACACAAATTATCATAGGACTCAGACTCAAATATGAGGGTAAAAGATTGGCTTTAGTGTTTCATATTTTCAAAAATTGGAGAATTATTTTGAAATAGGTAAACCATTTCTGTAAGACAACAAACTTTAGAACAAGGAGCATGAGGCGTACACAGGGGGGGGGGGGGCTATGCAAAATTTTGANCCCTCCGGGACAAATTTCGCTGTACGCCTCTGACAAGGTGGGAAATCAAACTAATCGAGCCAATGCTTAGTTTGGTCACAGAGTTGAAAATGAAATTTATAAATGTCGTCTTTATCTTTAAATGCTTGTTGTTTAATGAATGAAGAATGGAGGAGAGGTTGGACATCCGGAGGAAGTACATAACTGGGATACTCAGCTAGAACTAGGACAGGTGGCGGGGGTCACAACGGATTTAAGTAAGTTGACCATCATATAGTGGTCCCCGATATAAGATGGAACGCAACGACGAACCTTAAAACTAAATTAGGGAATATTTATCCCTGCGTTAAAAAAATATTTTGAATGCAAAATATGATGATTTAGATGCATTTAAAGTCGTCTACCATAGTTAATATTTTCACATCTTACAATTAAACTTTTTCCAGATAATTCTGATTTTTAAATGGTACCTTACGACTTATTTCAGATAATTTTTGATTAATTTGGTTAATAGCTTTTCTTTGGACTTAGCCAGAAGTTTTTAATGGAGTTTTTAACGGTTTCAACATATTCAAGATACGTTTAGCTAATTTTGTTAATGTGTTTTAGCTCAACTTTCCAAATGATTTTTAATGAATTTTTAAACATCTTTTTGATACTTTTTTTTAATTATTAGTTTTTAATATCTAAACATATTTTAGTTAAACTTTCCCAGACTTCAGAGGAATTTAAAGAATGGTTTCAAATTATTTCAGATACTTCTAAATTAATTTGGTCATTGCTTAAAAACAACTTATTCAAGAGGATTTTTTTTGTCGGAATTCAAACGTTTCAACAAAATTTAGTTCAGGGAAGTTTTAATCGTTTTTCATGTAATATCAGACAATTTTTTTAATTTTATTTTTTTTATTTGTTTTAATCCAGATTCTTTTCTTAGTTTTTAAATGGTTTCGACTTATTTCAAATATTTTTGGATTTTGGATTTTAACTGAACTAATTCCAGATGACGACCCTGTAGTATTCCACCGAGGTCCAGTAGTTTGGGACATGAACTCCTTCACCCCGGACAACAAGCTGTCCGGCCAGGACCAGCCGCCTATACCTGTAGATACCATCCTTACTATAGACCAGTTCACTGGGAAGGTAATATTCAAACATTATAAATCTTTATTAATTTTAGGATAGTTATAAAAGGGACTGGAAAAAGATTTATATTGACTGAATATTTTGAAATTTTGAATTTTTGATGAGCCAGCTGTGAGCCATGATAAGCCGGGAGCTGCCGACCATAGTAGTGTTGATTGGGATGCACTGTTCGACTGAGTCCTTAAAGCTATTTACTTTTAGTAATAGTATTTATTCAAACATTTATTTATTTTTAAATTTCAATTTTTGAAATTATTATTTATTCTTTATTTTTTGGTTGACGGTCTTTCCAAGCAATTTGGGGATACATGTAAACAGGCCAGAACTTCTTTGTAGAATTCTGCAGCCTTTGCAGTTTTTTTAACTTAGTTTGATTTAGTTTTGTCATTTCCCAACAAAAAACACAACATTTTGGATAATTTATTTCTAGTTAATTGTTTCTATTTTTATATTTATAATTGACTTTCTATCGAATTATTGAGAAAAGAAACTTAATCTTTTTTACATACCAGGGGAGGGGGGGGGGGGATTATCCCCCAATGCATTGTTCATATATTTTTCTAAAATCATATTAAGAAACATTTTATTATTTTTTTTTCTGTCGACCATTGTTAAAAATAGATTTTCTGTGTGAAATAAAATCAAAATATAAATATTTTATCTCCTTTTAATTATTAATTAATTTTCTAAATTATTATTTAGGAAACCAAGGTAACAAAACAAAGGAATTGAGTCTTAAACTAAAATTTTCTAGTCCCTATATCTGTGCAACCTGTTGGTTTGATATTTCAAAATAATAATATTTCAATAACAAAATCATAGTTTGAAATATCTAAGGTCTACGAAATTGTGTTACAGAGGCAGAGATTAGAAAATCTGAGTTTGTGGCAAACACTCAATTCTCTATTTTTTTGTAAAATAGCCGGTTAATAATATTTTATTCATTCCCCTGTTTAGGTGAAGAGTGGAAAGGGAGCAAATCTGTTCTATATGCCTCATGGTATATATATTGATCAAGACAGGAATACCTGGGTCACAGATGTTGGTCTTCATCAGGTATAAGATTTAGCAGGATAACACTTTAATATTACAACACTACAATATTAGAAGATTTAGCAGGATAACACTTTAATATTACAACACTACAATATTAGAAGATTTAGCAGGATAACACTTTAAAGGGACTGTAAGCGTTATTTTCAAGTATCCTCTTTGCAAAGATGGTGTAACCCTTAAAAGTTTGAATTAGATATTAGTGTTTATTTTTATAATTTTGAAAACTGATTATTTTCAGTAACGGATTTTCTACAAAAATTACTTGCGCATTTCTACTGTAGGAAAACATATCGGTGTTAAAATTAATTCGAAATATAAGGAAGACGATTTTTCCGACTCAAATGCCCCAGCCTTTTCTCTAGATGTATGTGTACTCAAATCCATTTCCTCCTCATGTAGTGCCCACATGTCGAATCTCCGCTCATCCCAGCTCCCTCCCGGTATTCAGTCATGTTAGGACAGTTGAACTAGTAACAGCTCCGACACAGGGAGCCTCTAAATAAATGTTAGAAATATCCATTTTAGATCTCTTTATTTTATTATAGTGACTTTTCAAGTCAACAATCGGATATACCAAAATTAAACACTTTTAAACCTGGAAACTACAATATTATCCACATTATTGATCAGATTAAGGTCTCAAGGGCATTGTTGTGAATTGGGTATTCCCAATGTTTGCATGATGGGTCACTTGAAATTACGCTTACGGTCCCCTTAGAATATGCGATATGGATAAATGTATCTTTTCCATTCAAAGTCTTTAATTGAAATGAATACTTAGAGAATTTGTAAATAAAGAAACAAGTTGCCCAGCTGAACAATTTCTGTACAGTCGTCCGTCAAGTAGAATCCTTTTTGGCTAACCCTGTATCTCCAGTTTAAATGATTTGAGTATTTATCACAGATGTTTCGTGGATTTTATGAAAATCTCAAATATAATGTAAAAAATCAATAAAAGGAAAAATAATCTTGTTTGTAACTATACTTTGCATGCCTTTTTTCTTATTATGTTTTCAGCGTGCGTTATTCATGAATTTAAGGAAAAACTACTAAAAATCAAAGTTTCATCTTTCATTTTTGTTTGAATATTTAGGTGATGATGTTTCCTCCAGATTCTGATGTTCCATCTTTAGTCCTTGGTAAATATAATTTTATAATGTCCATCTGTTGTTATTATAAAAGTACATTAATTATTTATAACATTTATCATTTATATTCGCAGATTTTGCAGAAATGTTTTCTTTATCGAGAAAGTTCAAGCCTAAAGAAGGCGAGAACCTTCGAGATACAGAGAAAATTTGAGTTCAAAAACTTTATAACACGTCGTGCTAAAATAAAAGTGTTATAGGTAATTCTATGAAATGTTTATGTACTTGTCTTAATGCATTGGTGTTGTCGGTGTTGCACATAAATCTGCATCCTACTTTATCCAAGCGTAATGTCGTCTTCCTACCATTCACCTTTGTATCGGGTCAGTTTATAAACCCAAGAATGTATTCCAGCATAGCTCCGTCTCAGACAGAGAAAACATACCATCCGTATTGAATAGTAAAACGTTTTAACAGTGAATACTATAATTATACAATCCATAGCAATTCTACTCAAACAAGTGGGGTTTTTATTTCAGAAGTAATAACTAACTGACCCGAGCTGAAAACTTTAGAATGAGATACTTAATCTGAGTATCCAATAGACACAGTTTTTATTTTCTTCTTAAAATGTTCTTTTTTTGGATACAGTAGAGAAAAATCAAAAACCGGGTTTTCTAAATAAGAGAGTTCCTACCGTTTCTGTATATAATCTTAAATGGCGCGCAAAATTTCAAATTTATCGGCATCATATACGCGATTTTATGCACTTTTCAGGATACAAGTACAAGATTGGGTTAGTCTCGATATTAAGAAAAAGAGAGGATCACGCATTAATCTCGATATCCACCATTCTAAAGTTTTCAGCTCAGAGCAGGGAACTTTTGAATGGTGGATATCAGAATTAATGCTTGATCCACTCTTTTTCTTAATTTCCAGATTAAATAATGCTTGTTCTCTTCTTTAAATAAATCTCCAGATTAATTTACCGATCGGGATTAAGGATATTCCATTCTAAAGTTTTCAGCTCAGATCTCCTTTCTCTGAGATAAAATCACTTCTTGATCAACTCCAGACACATTTAAATAGTAAGTTACTAAATCCTATTAACATTATTAGACAATTCTATCATAATTACTTATTATTACAATAACTTTATTTTGAAGGTTTGAAAAATATACATATTTGCAACTTTGTGTTTGTGTAGTTTCTACGAAGACATCACTAGTGTCAACAATTGGTTATTTCTAGATATAATAAGTTTTCTAACAAATCAGTTATAAAAATCTTAAGTTAATTTTATTTTTGTTTAAATTAAAAAAAAATATTCCAGAAAAATCCTACATTTTTTGGAGAAAATCTAGCAACGAATCGAAACTTAATAGCACGGTGCTATACTATAGAGCTAATTTTACATAATAGGACGATGATTACTTAATAGCACGCTATAGAGCTAATTTTACATAATAGGACGATGATTACTTAATAGCACGCGGTGCTATACTATAGAGCTAATTTTACATAATAGCACGATGATTACTTAATAGCACGGTGCTATACTATAGAACTAATTTTACATAATAGGACGATGATTGCTTAATAGCACGGTGCTATAACATTGAGCTAATTTAACTTTATAGCACGATGATTACTTAATAGCACGGTGCTATACTATAGAGCTAATTTAACATAATAGGACGATGATTACTTAATAGCACGGTGCTATAATATTGAGCTAATTTAACTTTATAGCACGATGACTACTTAATAGCACGGTGCTATAATGTTGAGCTAATTTTACATTATTGCACGATGATTACTTAATAGCACGGTGCTATAAAATAGAGCTAATTTTACATTATAGCACAATGATTACTTAATAGCACGGTGCTATAATATAGAACTAATTTAACATTATAGCACGATGATTACTTAATAGCACGGTGCTATAATATTGAGCTAATTTTACATTATTGCACGATGATTACTTAATAGCACGGTGCTATAATATTGAGCTAATTTAACTTTATAGCACGATGATAACTTAATAGCACGTTGCTATAATATTGAGCTAATTTTACATTATTGCACGATGATTACTTAATAGCACGGTGTTATACTATAGAGCTAATTTAACATTATAGCACGATGATTACTTAATAGCAGGGTGCTATAATATTGAGCTAATTTAACATTATAGCACGATGATTACTTAATAGCACGGTGCTATAATATTGAGCTAATTTAACATTATAGCACTATGATTACTTAATAGCAGGGTGCTATAAAATAGAGCTAATTTTACATTATAGCACAATGATTACTTAATAGAACGGTGCTATAATATTGAGCTAATTTAACATTATAGCACGATGATAACTTAATAGCACGGTGCTATAAAATAGAGCTAATTTAACATTATAGCACGATGATTACTTAATAGCAGGGTGCTATAAAATAGAGCTAATTTTACATTATAGGACGATGATTACTTAATAGCACGCGGTGCTATACTATAGAGCTAATTTTACATAATAGCACGATGATTACTTAATAGCACGGTGCTATACTATAGAGCTAATTTAACATTATAGCACGATGATTACTTAATAGCACGGTGCTATAAAATAGAGCTAATTTAACATTATAGCACGATGATTACTTTATAGCACGTCAAATATAAATTTCAGCATGAAGTGAGCATTATGAATGATTCACAACAGTTTCATACAAATCACTAAGCGTTCGGGGCGCTTCGTGCCTCTCTTTCTTGTAATAATTTTTATCTTTTTCATGATAATTTAATTGCTTCGTGCCTCTCTTTCTTCTAATAATTTTATCTTTTTCATGATACTTTAATTGCTTCGTGCCTCTCTTTCTTCTAATAATTTTATCTTTTTCATGACACTTTAATTGCTTCGTGCCTCTCTTTCTTCTAATAATTTTATCTTTTTCTTGATACTTTAATTGCTTCGTGCCTCTCTTTCTTCTAATAATTTATCTTTTTCATGATACTTTAAAAGCTTCGTGCCTCTCTTTCTTCTAATAATTTTATCTTTTTCATAATACTTTAATTGCTTCGTGCCTCTCTTTCTTCTAATAATTTTATCTTTTTCAAAGCTTCGTGCCTCTCTTTCTTCTAATAATTTTATCTTTTTCATAATACTTTAACTGCTTCGTGCCTCTCTTTCTTCTAATAATTTTATCTTTTTCTTGATACTTTAATTGCTTCGTGTCTCTCTTTCTTGTAATAATTTAATCTTTTTCATGATACTTTCATTGCTTTGTGCCTTTCTTTCTTGTACTAATTTTTACTTTTTCATAATACTTTAATTGCTTTATGCGTCTCTTTCTTGAAATAATTTTATCTTTTTCATGATACTGTAATTGCTTCGTGTCTCTCTTTCTTGTAATAATTTTATTTTAACTTGTTCATGTTAATTCAGTTGCTTCGTGCCTCTCCTTCTTGTAATAATTTTACCTTTTTCATGATGCTTTAATTGCTTCGTGCCACTCTGGGCCATAGTACCTGCCCAGTTTGTACCGGCCTGCAAGATAACAGCGTGTACTGACCCAATCCTATGGTACAGTACGTCGCCCTAACCAGACTAACATACGACAGGGGTCAATTTTCTTGGCATAGTCCCGTCGGAGGGCTAACTATGACAACTCCCATGGCGCGTTCAGACTTTTTACAGAGCCCGGCCTAATTCTAGGCCGCCTATTTGACCAACCCCACTGGCTTAGCCCACCGGGGTGCCTCTCTTTCTTGTAATAATTTTAACTTTTTCACGATACTTTCATTGCTTCGTGCCTCTTTTTCTTGTAATAATTTAATCTTTTCCATGATACTTTAATTGCTTCGTACCTATCTTTCTTTAATAATTTTATCTTTTTTATGATAGTTTAATTCCAACCAGTTTTCCTTATATTCATAATACAAAAATGTAAAATATTGAAAATTGGTTTATTGGGGAATTACAAAAATTAAAATTTAAAATTTAAAATATGTATATATATGTATATATGAAAGGCACTTGAATAAATTGTAATTGTATCAAATAAATTACATTTTATTTATTTGGGATTATTTCAATGCATGGTTTTAAAAAAATCTGACTAATAATTTGTTAAAAGGCATATGAACAGTTTTTGCAATTTTAAGTGACCATATTCATTTGATGGAAGTACTTGCACAATTACAAACGGTTAACTCCAAAAAATGTATGAAAAATCTATAATCTATGTGCTTTCCCAGCTGAATATAGATAAAAGACTTTGGGATCAGTGTGTATGATACTGATCACTTATTCTGTTGAATTAAACGCGTTGGGTCAACACATACTGGGTACACTAGACGGGTTGTTACGGTAAAGACTAGTCCGGCATCGAATCATGGAGTCCACGGGAAGGATATTGGGGTAGAATTTATTTCTTTTCTTTGAGGAAAAACCCAATTATTGTTTTTAGAGACAAAAATAATAATATCTCATTCATTCTTGATCAAAAAAAGGTTTTAAGAGATCTATTGTGAACCGAATATGCTATTATTTTAATAAAGGGTCACTTAGAATTACGTTAACAGTCCTTTTAATGTTTAGGTGAGAGGTTTGTCCCTGGGTCGGATAAACAACATTTCTGTAAACCTGCCGCCGTTGCAGTCTCTAAATCTGGAAACGTTTATGTGGCAGATGGGTAAGTTAATAGCAAGGTTGTTTATTACGGTTAGATACTCTGGATGCGTTCCAATTTTCGTGAAATGTCGTTTTCATAGCAATAGACACCATAAATCCTCATATGACGTAACTTCTTATTGGCGGAAGATGAAGTGATAACGTTGTTAAAGAAAGAGGGTCAGTAACTGTCACTTTTCATCTTCCGCCAATATGCAGGTACGTGACTACGTCATATGCGGATTTTTAGAGTCCATTGACATGAGGACGAAATTTTCATACAGAATTCTTATTGTGAAAATACTGTTTCAAAGCACAATGATATGACAAATTATTCTAAAAGATAGAGTCATTGCCAAAAATTCAAATTTTCCTACCCCCCATATCTTTGCAGCAAAATGGCTTAAACCTTTCAAAATTAGATAATTTGTTCAAACAGAATTTATAGTTTGAAAATCTAAAATCTACAACATTTGGTTTCAAGGATATAAGGATTAAAAAACCTGAGTTTATGGTAAAGACTTAAATCCTTTTCAACCCTCAAGATAATTTGAAATTTTTTTTATGTTCTCCAATATTTCAATATAATATTATTATATATTTGTATTTGATTTCAAAGGAAGATTTATAATTATATATTGTTTAGATATTGTAATCAGAGAATAGTTGTGTTTGATATCAAAGGAAGATAACTAATTATATATTGTTTAGATATTGTAATCAGAGAATAGTTGTGTTTGATATCAAAGGAAGATTTATGATTATATATTGTTTAGATATTGTAATCAGAGAATAGTTATCAAAGGAAGATATATAATTATATATGGTTTAGATATTGTAATCAGAGAATAGTTGTGTTTGATATCAAAGGAAGATATCTAACTGAGATTAAGGGGGACTGGACAATCGTTCACAGCATTGTTCTATTTGAGGAAGAGGTAAAATATTTTTTTATAAATCTGCCATGTTGTCACTGTAAACTAGATCTGCCATGCTGTCACTGTGAACTAGATCTGCCATGTTGTCACTGTGAACTAGATCTGCCATATTGTCACTGTGAACTAGATCTGTCATGTTGTCACTGTTAACTAGATCTGCCATGTTGTCACTGTGAACTAGATCTGCCATGTTGTCACTGTGAACTAGATCTGCCATGTTGTCACTGTAAACTAGATCTGCCATGTAGTCACTGTGAACTAAATCTGCCATGTAGTCACTGTTAACTAGATCTGCCATGTTGTCACTGTGAACTAGATCTGCCATGTTGTCACTGTGAACTAGTTCTGCCATGTTGTCACTGTGAACTAAATCTGCCATGTTGTCACTGTGAACTAGACAGAAGGAAAATAATGTTGTCACTGTGAACTAGACAGAAGGAAAATAATGTTGTCACTGTGAACTAGATCTGCCATGTTGTCACTGTGAAGTAGATCTGCGATGTTGTCAATGTGAACTATATCTGCCATTTTGTCACTGTGAACTAGATCTGCCATGTTGTCACTGTGAACTAGATCTGCCATGTTGTCACTGTGAACTAGATCTGTCATGTTGTCACTGTGAACTAGACAGAAGGAAAATAATGTTGTCACTGTGAACTAGACAGAAGGAAAAGGTAAAATTCTTGCAAGTAAGGACTTAAGAGTAACGGAGAAATACCTTCTTTCACCCTTTAGTTGATCTTACAGGGGGGGGGGGGAATTACATAAAATGAGAAAAATTATCCAAGCAAATTCACTATTTTGCTTAAATTTCGTGAAATTTTAAATTAGCTATTTATAAGGTTGCAATGAGATCCATAACTGTTCTCTTTAAAGTAATATATTACATTCCTACACTAAGGTTATAACCACAGACTACACAGACTGCTTATCTCCTTTCACAGGGTGGGATACGACTACGTAGGCCTAAGTTGACGTTTTTACGATAGGTTTTTAGAGTGCCGTCTCTCGGCACTTGTTGCATATACTACCCATTCAGGGGAAAAGTTTTACAAATTTTAAAGAAATTCTCAATTTTAAATATGATACAGAACATTTATGAATTCAGTCTTTTTTTTTTTATAGATTTTGTGTTTCTAATCCAAAGAATCCTTAAATATCCCTGAATACAGATGTTTGCTGATTGGTCGTGTACAGTACTTCTGAACAATAGAACATGCTGTAGAAAATATCGCATATTTTAGCTGATAATCGATCTCTGTAACTCTTTTATCTCGGGTTATAACTAATTCATCGAAAATAGCAACTCCTTTTCGCACCAGCAATAAATTATATAATAGCAACATACATAAAAGAAAAAAAAATTAAAAAGTCATAACACTTAGTGATTAGATTAGCCAATAAAAACAGGATACAGTTTGTATAGCGGACAGGGAGGATAATAATATTATATGTTAGGATACAGTTTGTATAGCGGACAGGGAGGATAATAATATTATACATATGTTAGGCTACAGTTTGTATAGCGGACAGGGAGGATAATAATATTATATGTTAGGATACAGTTTGTATAGCGGACAGGGAGGATAATAATATTATATGTTAGGATACAGTTTGTATAGCGGACAGGGAAAATAATAATATTATATGTTAGGATACAGTTTGTATAGCGGACAGGGAGGATAATATTATTTTATGTTAGGATACAGTTTGTATAGCGGACAGGGATAATAATAATATTATATGTTAGGATACAGTTTGTATAGCGGACAGGGAGGATAATATTATTATATGTTAGGATACAGTTTGTATAGCGGACAGGGAGGATGATAATATTATATGTTAGAATACAGTTTGTGTAGTGGACAGTGAGGATAATAATATTATATGTTAGGATACAGTTTGTGTAGCGGACAGGGAAGGGGAGAAGATATCTTGTGTTGGAGCAGGGCTAAACCATCCTCAGTTTATGGGAGCTAGAATACTGGATATACCAAACCTAGGACGGGTTTATGGAATAGGTAAGCGACTTTCTTTAAAAGAAGTGGTTGTAAAAAACTACATAATTACATTTTAAATACAGCGTGTTTCAATAAAATGGGAAGTGAGAGAGGACTTGAATAACGTCTTCAATTTCCGATCATTGATAAATGACATGCATGAAGTGTATCAAAAAAAGACTGAAAGTCTAACGATCTTTGTATCTTAAAATTGACGGAAAAATTAAACATTTGAACAGTTTTGTTGAGTTTTAATAAACTGGAATCTGGACAAATTTCCCAATATCTCCGTCAATTTTGAAGGTAAATAAAATTAGAAAGAAATCCTTAGACTGGTAGTTTTCGATGTTAACTGTTTTAACTGTGATACAACGGTGGTTCATGGCGATGTAATGAAGACGACTTTTTATTTAAGTTTTAATTGTTAACAAGCTTTTCTTTGAATTCCATGTTTACAAGCAATTAAAAAGAAGCTTTTAATTGACAGCTTCTCTCTCTTTCCTTGTTTTTGTGTATCCATGCTATTTAAAAGCTTAATATGTAAATCAAAATTAAACTCGAAAGTCGTCTTCATTTTATATATAAAATCGCCTACCACTGTATTACAAGATTATTTTTTCGAAATAATCCCGCGTGGAACAAAGACGATACAGAAGTAGTCTATTAAACTCTCATGTCTATTGGGACACCCTGTAGATCAATGCAATTATAAAACTACTGCTTTGGCCTTTTCACTCAACATTGAGCATATTCCTTAGAAACTTAAAGTAAATGTTGTGGATTGTAAGAATCTGTACGCAACTTGGTTTATAAATACAAAAATTAGTTTTCTTTGCATTTATTAAATATAAACATTATAAAGAAAATACACCCCTAACAAAAACGACATGTTAAAATGACTGAATTATTTACAAATGAAGAACCTTAACGAAACATAAGTTATCGTTTGAAACGTAATTAGTGTTGTCACCCCAACCTTTTTCGCTACGTAATCTTTCAAAAATGTATGAATCGAATATAATTTTAGCTGGGCGTGGGACTGCGCTGGTAGGTGTGACCGGTCAAGGGTCTACTCCACCTCATGGTATTACCATAGATCTAGCAGATGAGGGGAGAGTTGTCGATACTTGGGGATCAGGGACATTCATTCAATCAATTATCTTATTATCCATTCATTTATAAGTTCAAGGACCAGAGTATCGTTAATCTAACATGCTTAATATCTTGATATCAAACTATATGGGCACTTTTAAATTTGAGAATAAAAGATTGATATCTCAATATACGCCCCAAGGGAATAAAGAGGAAAACAAATAATTCGTATCTAAAGATGGAGCAATGCTTAATCTCAAGATTTGATCGTTAAAATCAGATCATGTCCTGGGGGCAAACCATATTCCACACGAAGTTCCTACCTAGCTCCAGTTGTTCTAGAGAAGCTGTCCACACAGTTAAACTTAAATCTTAGCTTTTAATTAAGTCTGGTTAGGGCACATTATTACCACTGTATAAAATAGAAAGTATGTTTCTTCTTTGTATGAATAATGGTAATGTTAATTGAATTGGGTAATGTGAGTAGTTCCAATTATTGATTCTTATTAATTACCATTAGTTCGAGTTGTAGGTGTGACGTAAGTAATCTAATTCAGTTCTTAACCACTAAAATTTAAACCATTTTAACACAAAGACATAAAAAAACAATTTTAGGACACATGCTGATATTTTCCAATGTATTATTATGCTGATATTTTCCAATATATTATTATGCTGATATTTTCCAATGTATTATTATGAGTTAAGACTTAAAAGTTGAATATTTTGATAATTTGAAATGAACATGGCAACTTGAATTACAAAACCCCCATTTAGAAATAGGCTTTAATAATTTTCAATATTTAAAGACGACATCATTGTAGAGAATTGGTATACCTTTTTCAGGAGAAAAATAAATTTACTAAACGTGAAAATTATTGAACAATTTTGAATGAATGATTTGTTGAATAGAGCTGCAGAACCCGCATCTAATGGCGGTGTCCAGGGAGGGGGACACCATCTACGTCACCGAGATCGGTCCCAACAGAGTCAGAAAGTTCGACGTTGTCGCTCCTCAAGACAACATCTTCAACCAAGAAATGTAATAAAAAAATAAAAACTTCAGAATTATCTTTGATTAAAAAGTTGATAATTTGAGTAATACTCCAGGGGATTATTATCAAGAAAAATCGGGTTTCAAGTTAATTGACTTATTAACGTATAAGTTACAAGCATTAGAGATACATCTTAGTCTGAAAATAATGATATTAACCTGTAATTTATCGTTATTTAAATATATTAAAATAAATAGTATTTACGGTTTATTTGTGTAATTTATGAAACAAGGGCATAGTGATATTTTTGAAAAAAACCGTAATGCAAGGACGAATGTCGTATATTTGGTGACATTTTCCCGAGTAAATAGTAAAATTAGTATTCAAGTTTATTTGTTTAATTTATGTCAAGGGCATAGTGATATTTTTGACAAAAGCGTCATACAAGGTCGAATGTCATATTCGTATATTTGGTGCCATTTTCCCAAGCAAACTTTAGAATTTCAATTCACGAGACAAATTACGTACCAAAACCGACACAAGCTAAAAAGTTTAATAATGACTTTTCATTTTTATTATCTAGTATTTTCCATTTTGCAAATTTTTAAATTTTGCAATGTCGATACTCTTTTTATGGATTTTTTGCATGTTAGAAAAAAATAGAAAAGAATTCAATTATGAATAAACTTTGCTTGTCTGTTTGTTTCCAATAAACGTCAAAACGGCTGAACCGATTGGGCCCAAATTTTCTTAAATACAAAGAGAAAATGTTCACATTTGAAATGTAAAAATTAGATTTTTTGAAAATCTTCATTTCTATAATCTATACTTTAGGGTGACAACCCTATAAAAAAGAATGAAAATTTTTTGAATCCCTCAACTCCATAGTCTTCTAAATAAGAAAAAACACTGGCTGATAACTGTAGAGAATTGATATGGTTTTAATTTAATAAAGGATTCCTGATCTGCTGATTTCTGTTTGTTATGATAATCTGCAATCTAGTTTTATTTTGCATTTAGAACATCCATGAAATTACAGGAAATCGACATTTTTATTAAAATAAAAGTTAACATTGAGCACATGATATAAATATGCTAAATACGATGCATGGATAACTTAACTCATTACAGAAAATCCACGAATTTCATTTTCAAACAATTTTAATTATTTATCTAAAAATACAAGTAACAAAATCATTAGTTTTAATGGATTAAACGAGTTGATACAAATCTAAATATATTAAAATATCTGAATGAGGAATCCTGAATTCAAACAAATTCATCGCACCAGTCGGATAAGCACTGGTAGCAATCCGTAGCCTAAAAAAACACATTTGTAAAAAAAGCTTAAAGGGATTGTAAGCATAATTTCAAGTAATCCTCGAGGCGAAGACAGTGATACCCGATTTACAACGGCATCCTTCAAAGCTTTGTTTGATCAAGTATCAGTTAAATATCCATGATTGAAATTTTGAAAGCAGATTATTTTCATTTAAAATTCTGTGATTGTGATGGACCAAACCTCTGTAGAGTAAAATAGGTAGATGTTAGTTCCACATTTATTGAAAATATATTTCGGTCTGGGTTGACCCTCGTCAGTTCTTGAGACTGTTTCTGTCACAATGATAAAAACAAACTGATTATTTATAATTCTGGGTTCTCGACGACTTGCAAAATTCTATTGCGGGAATCATATAGACATTATCGGAATTAAACGCTCTTTAACCTAGAAAAACGAGAATATCTTCCACATTATTTATTAGATAAAGGTTTCAGGTGTACCGTTGTGAATCGGTCATTCCTATCTTTGCAATGGGGTCATTTGAAATTACACTTACTGTTTCTTTAAGAATTAAAGATATCAAAAGGTTTAATTCTTGCTTCAAAACTTCAAGATTCCAGTACAGTTTTTAGTACAGTAACATTAGATTTAGAAAAGCTCAAGGTGCAAGTACACAGTGAACATGTACATGGTAATACGGTACATAATTAGTGAAAGTGAATACACGAGTGTGCAATTACACATGCACATTGTACAATTACATGATATATTTACTAATGCAACAGATCAGTAATATCGATTAAAAAGAATACACTTGACCTTACTGTAATGACTATAAATGTTTATAAATAAGCGGGTAAAAATGTAAATGGGTTCACAAAACACAAGTACATATGGAAATACTTAGTTACTTGATTACTTAACTACATTACACTTTACAGTCGTCGTCGTTGTCGTATATATAAATACAAGGAAGACGACTTTCGATTTCTACCAATCCGTTGGATCTGCAAGATTTTGGCTTCCTGGATCCGAATCTGAACTTTTGAAAAAAAAGAGAGATTGTAAAAATTTCCTCATTCCTGAATGGTTCATCAAGTTTTAGGATAAAAATAAGCGAAAAAAAATAAAACAAATTTGAAAATCATTTTTTTTGTTAAAAAAATTCAGTATATCTTAAAGAAATGACCTGGATCCGGATCCATTTTTTTCCAGTGCGGATCCAGGATTCAAAATTAAATGGATCCTAAGCACTGCTACCAAGCTTTGTAGAACAGTGTTGATAAATACAAACATGGAAACAAAGAGAAGTTGTCAACTGTATAGCTTTTCTTTGCTTACTTGTAAACTTGTAATTTGGAAAAAGCTTGTAAGAAATTAAAAAGTCGTTTTTATTGTATTGATATGAACGCCGACTATTGTACAGAACACATAATCATACGCATTAAAGGGAGTGACCGGCTATGTTAGGTAGTTGAACTGAGTATGCAGTGTTGTGAAAGCTTCTTTCGGATTCATTTGAGACATATTAAACTTTTTAAAGATCTGTAAATCCTGAGTTTGAGCGCAAATTCGACGTTCAAAACTCCTACTTTGGGGGTGGATACGTTTTAGCCGGTCACTCCCTTTAAGCAATAATTACAGCTGTAATATTACCTGCTTAGTGTTTGCCCCAGCTAAATCTTTCAGCCATTCGACAAACAGATCCTTAAAATAAATAATTAACATGGCATTCGACAAACGGATCCTTAAAATAAATAATTAACATGGCATTCGACAAACAGATCCTTAAAATAAATAATTAACATGGCATTCGACAAAGAGATCCTTAAAATAAATAATTAACATTCGACAAAGAGATCCTTAAAATAAATAATTAACATGGCATCCGACAAACAGATCCTTAAAATAAATAATTAACATGGCATGAATTACTAATTACTGCACAATTTTCGTCGTTAATAACAATTAACATAACCCTGAGTGGCAGGATTAAAATTTATTACCTCAACAGAAAGTTAAAATATCTTATCGGAAATGTTAAGTTCTTTTTGCACAAGAAAATAATTATACAGATGGGAAGCAATATTGAAAAGAGAAAAAAATTGGACAGCGCCACCCCATTCACACAACCTATATCTAGGTTCCGTTCATGGCTGCACTATCACTCCTGATCTCCTCTGGAATCCTCCAGAATGGCACTACACGACTTAAACTAAAGAACGTAGCGTCTATACAAATTCAGAAAGTTGCAATATACGACTCGTATCGTGAAATAATCAATTTAATTTAAAACAAATAATTTAGATATTACAACCTTACGTCATCGATTATTTTTCGAAACATTTGTATATTACAACGATTTCTTTCCGCTGATAGGTGTCTCTGCCACGTGTAATCATTCAAAGCTTTGAGAGCAGAGACATCTGGCGAACAACTATTTCAGCGTTTTAAGTGCATTGGATACAAAACGAATAAAAATGTTATGAAATATTAAGCATACGAATGCGTCGAAAAATAATCAATGACTATAGGTTGTAATATCTGAATGATTTGTTTGAAATTAAATTGATTTTTGACGCTCCGAGTCGTATATTGCAACTTTCTGAATGTATATGGATGCTATGTTCTTCAGTAGAACAAAAAGATGCAACAGATAGAAGTAAGATTAGTAGCGATCAAAAGAGATTATTTTTGCTGTAAGCCTATACCCTCTAAAATTTTCGCGAATACTCCCTTTAAGGCTACAAAAAATGGATTTTTTGATAACCAGACAAACAAACTTCTATTAAAAAAAGGGCTTTTTGATTATTATTCGATTAATATTCAAGGGATATGTACTATATTTCAACGTTTCTGAACTCAGTATTTAAAGACGGATATTTTGATACCAGTCTTGATTTGTTTGGACGAATATTTCTCATTATGTATCCTAATTTCAACATTTCCACAGAAAAATAGGCATTTTTAAAAAACTAATGTTGTTCAATTATTATTGAGCCACAAAAAGTATTCGTAAATAAAAAAAATACTGAAAAGACAATATATATAATCTCTTCTCTAACCTTATTTTTCTTGAGTAGGAGGAACTGTCCTAGAACCACATATCCTTTATCAAACCCCTGAATTATTTCTCTTTAGGTTTTAGTATCATTTTGTCATAAAATAACGTCTACCAGGATTTTACGAGATCAGGCGAGTCTCCTTTAACAATCTATGGGCTTTTTAGACCAAAAATTTTCCTTGTGGACATCAAGTTTCAGTTTTGTTGTAGCGCTATCGTATACAAAATATCAGATCTGAGATTGCTAGAAAAATCTATTTTTCATTTAACATGTTGAAAAAATTATACAACCAGGCTAGGATTTAAATCTTTCTTCTTGATCAACAAAAAGCTTTTTTCTTAATATTAACATCATTTTCGTCCAGTGCACAGGATCCATTAATTTTGACGCGGATCCGGATCCTGGATCCGCACTGAAAAAAATGGACCCGGATCCGGATCCAGGTCATTTCTTTAAGATTTACCGATTTTTTTTACAAAAAATAATTTTCAAATTTTTTTTTTTTTTTCCGCTTATTTTTATCCTAAAACTTGATGAACCATTTAGAAATGAGGAAATGTTTATAATCTCTATTTTTCAAAAGTTCAGATTTGGGTTTCAGGAGTAAAAAAGTTTTTTTTTAACAGTTTTTGGTTGATTTTTTACCCCCTGGATCCTGATCCGGATCCAGGAAGCCAAAATCTTGCGGATCCGGATCCTAAGCACTGCACTTTACAGTGGTCCGTAGATCTGCACAACATTAAGATCAATCTTTGATCCAGAGATTAACAACGCACAAGTTCTGACCTGGTAATATATTTATGATAAAAATACAAACCTTGGCTTCTAATCGTTTGCCCAGAACATCTCCTATTCCAGCTAAATCTGTTACAGGCTAAACAAAAATGTTATTTTAATTGACTGTGAATGTGAAATGAACCAACACGGTAAAAAATATTTTCGGTTTCCCCGTATTAGCTAGCATTATTATTATTATTATTAGACAAAATTTCTGGTAATAAAGGAAGCAAGTCGTGAATTTCTACAGCAAAATGTTTTATCCAGGGGCGTATTCAGGAATTTGTCCAGGGGGGGCTTAAATTTTTTTCCAGGGGAGCTCAGCAACCGTTGGGGCATGAAAACCCCCTGAAATCAATAGATTTCACTGGTTAAGGGGGGGGACTTAGACCCAATAGCCCCCCCTGAATACGCCTCTGGTTTTATCCCATGACATTTAACTATAAAAAACTTTTATGTTAACATTATTTTAGAGACAATATTCCTTTTTTTTTCAATCATGCGAAAACGTAAAAAATGCGCTTAATAGTTTAATAAGAAAAAATTTTTTTAAAGTGGGAACAAATTAAAAATTTGCCAAGATTAAATAATCTAAAAATTAAAAAATCATCTATATAATAAAACAAGACATTCGTATATATATATGTTGTCTATAGCCGGCCAAACGGCAAGACCGATTGGGCTGAATTTTTTTCTGGACACTCGTGTTATAGGCTAAAAAAATCGAAATAAATTAAAAAAAATATTTTTTTTCAAATTTTTTTTCATGAGCAGCCTTTCAGCAGCAAGTTTTTTAAATGGACTCAAATTTTTTTTCTGTGGTGAAATATTGCAAATAAAATTCATTGAAAAAAAAATAATAATAAGAGGGCTAACTGAGATCAAAATCAGATTTATTATTTCCCAATTTATATTTAATGATTTGATTTGATAATGCCCCAAATTTCAGTAATAAACTTTTACAGATTATTTTGGTCTGATGTACCTACAACATTATGATTAAGTTAGTGATGTAACAGAACGGCATTTCACCCGCACCTTTTCCGTCAATTTAAACTTCGATTTTAATGAGTCTCATTATACACCGTGTGAGATGTTCACGATTTATTTTAGCAACCATAACCCAAGAGGTATATATTTTCTCTTAAAAATCATTTCTCTCTCTCTCTCTCTCTCTCTCTCTCTCTCTCTCTCTCTCTCTCAGTTCTCTAGGAAATTACCGTCAACTGTCACATTTTAACTATTTCTCACCTTTTCCCCCATAGGTTCAGCGACAAAGTTTCTGTGTTTCAACGAAGTGGTCGACATTTTGTATTTCTGTTATCTGAAATGATTTTACTTCATTAATTTATTAAATTATTTATTTAAAAATATTCGTCCTAAAATTCATAAAAAAAATATTCCAATCACAAATATTAAATTATCTGTTCATCAAGAGCGTACAATATTATTCCAGAGAGAAGAACAGATTTGTAAAATACAAAATAAAAAATAATTTCTTGACTCGAACAGTTTTTAAGAAATAGATTAGACAAACTCATCACACCAATCAGAGAGACACTGGTAGCAATCGGTGGCCTAAACAACAAAATATCAACCATTCGTCCGTAGAAATTATAGAGCATAATTCTATGCCTAGAGTCGGTATAAATATTACTATTTATAATTCTATTATTCTGGTTCGCAGCGTTATAAAGTTGTTGGACAGAACTTTTATCCTGATAATGCTAACATTTTTGGCGAAATGTATTAACAAGAAAATGATGTATTAAGTGAGAGAAAGAGAGAGAGGAGGGTTGAGATTTGTTTAAAAACGATCTATAGTTTATTAATAAAGAACAAGTAGTTGATTGATTTCTTCTCAGTTTTAACCTTTAGTGGAATCAAGAAGTAGTTCAAAAAATCTACTTCTCAATGTTCGTTTATTCCGATCATAGGAGTCATATCCACAAACAATGATTTTTACTGTAACAATAATGCAGAAAATATACTCTTTGATTGATTAATAGACCACATACATACTACAAATATCGACTTTGGTATTGGGTATTATTTTCAAATATTAAAAAGTATTTTACTTCTAAAAGCAAGTGTAATTAATATTGTTTGCTTTAATAAAACGTGCAATATTATAAAAGGCGATCGTAACACTGTTGGTAAAATCGTTTGGGGGCCCAAGTAAAACTGTTGCACAATCTATTATTAGCAAACTTCTCGGTAATATAATTTTGAAATGTGCTTTAATCTGAAATTCTTATGAAGCTGCAAACGAAAAAATTAACAGGGGTGTATAACATTCAGAATTCAGAATTTGGGGAAAAAATGGAAATCAACTTTTTTCATTCTGTTTGATACTTTTTACCTAAAAATTTAGTTATTTTCCCAAATTCACATCACATCACATCACATCACATCACATCACATCACATCACATCACATCACATCACATCACATCACATCACATCACATCACATCACATCACATTACATACCTGCTTAGTATTGGCTCCTGCCAATTCCTTTAACCACTCAACGAACAGATCCTGAATTAAACAATCTGAAAACAAGTGTTAAGATTTCATTTCATTTTGATGCCGGTCCAGAAATAGATAAGATAGATTGATTAGATGTTTTGAAGTATTTTCATGATTGCATCAAAAAATTAGAACAAAAAATTCTCTTTCCGATGATTTAATCCGCCGCATTTTTTTGCGAATGCTGAGCTGCGAACTCTTGTATTGTGGATATCGAGATCAATGCTTGATCTCAATTTTTTGTTATTCTGCAGATAAATTTACTCCCACAGTGAAATTGTACCCTGAAGGAATAACTAAAATGAAGAGATTATGCATTGATCCTCTAATGAACAGTGTTCACTGAATATCGAGATAGATCTGAATTATGAGTATTAAACACAAAAGTTACAGGGAGCTTAAACGTTGCGGATTAACTTTTTTTCTCTCTCACATATTTTTACGTTAAATATCATTCCACTAATATTTTTTAGTTTGATCTGATCTTTATTAATTATTTATTAAGTATTCAGAAAAAAATAATAAATTATTTGTTACACTAAAAATATTGTATCTCTTCTAAAGACTTACCTTATTCTTCTTTAGAAGCAGAAACTGCCCCAGGACGACATATCCTTTATCAAAACCCTGAAAATATTTAATTTAAAGGGATGTTTTCCGATATGAACATATATTAGCAGCACCCAAAAGATTAAAAATAGAGACACAAAATGACATTTTTTATTTCATTTAATATATAGATATAAATACCTTTTATAACTCAACAACATTTTTAGAAAGTACCTATTTTTAAAATCAAGAAAAACCAAATTTATTGGTAAACGTGCATTTCGCCATTTTTATAAATTCATTCCATGAGAAATAAATAATATTTAATAGTCTTGCTTAAAGTTATGGTTATACTTCAAACTTTTTTTTCAAAGTTAATAAATATTTCTTTTTTATAAAAACAAAACCTTAAATACAGTTGTACACCGTACAGACTTACTTAAGGTATATTAAAAAAGGCTATCGATCAAATGAAAAGCTTTAGATAAGTTTTGAAAATATTTAAAACTCGTTTTTTCTTTTAATAGAACAGATACAGACCTTGGCTTCTAGACGTTTCCCCAGAACATCTCCTATGCCAGCTAAATCTGTTACAGGCTAAATAGTAAATCATATAGTTAATTCAAGTTGTTTATCAACCTTTTCCTACATACATGGAATGTACTCAGACACCAAAATGATCCAGATAACCTGAATTTAGGAGTTTAGCTTAGTGCAAATAACAAAACGGGGGCCACTTAAAATCTATCTTCGAGAAGGATTTTTGCCCCCCCCCCCTCTACAAAAATGTACAAGAAACATTTTGTATTATCCCAGGGTGGATTAGGGAGATTTATGGACCGAGCGCTGCGACTAGGACAGTGTTAGTCTATCTGTTGGGATAGGTCAGGTTAGTCTAAGGGTTAGGTTAGGTTAAGACAATTTCTGGGCCGAGCACTGCGGCTAGGATGGCCTAGGGGGCCGGCGCTGCGGCCACATGATCAATTTTACAAAATGTACAAAATTGATAGGAGGGGGGTGGGGGTCAAAAATATCGTTCTCTAGGAAATTACCGTCAACTGTCACATTTTAACTATTTCTCACCTTTTCCCCCATAGGTTCAGCGACAAAGTTTCTGTGTTTTAGTGATGTAGTAGACATATTGCTTTACTTCAATCTGAAATGATTAAGGTAATTTTTTTAAATAATTTAAATGAACAATTGTTTAAAACGTACAAATATATATATTGAAAACCCCTAGAGTTAGAATTTATATATAATAAATTGCTTATCGCAGTTTACTCTCTATGTATATGGCTTTATGAGATAATTAGTAACAAAATCAGCCCTGTTCTGACAACTATAAAGTTAGGGCTTTTGCCAATGGGTACAGCTGCAATTATAAAAGAGGACTAGAAACAAAAAACGAAGAACAAAAATGGAAAATATAAAACTGGAGAACGAACAAACAAGAAAAAAACTGTTAAGGGCACAAAAATATTCTGGAATTGTTATTGAATAGGACAAACTGAAGATTAGAAGAATGATCGCAAAACTTATCCGTCATGATTCTTGGAAAGTTAACAGAAGAATTAATAGAAGATTTACAAAATATGAGTATCTGTTGGATATATAATTTCATCGGATATGTGCAAAGATTGAATGGAAGATAAAGATTTATCAATTTGTACAATAAATTTGATTTAAATAACAAAAATCGAATACTAGGACGGAACTCAGTTGTGATGGAGGGGTCTGTCCAAGTATACGATTTTTGGACCCCCCCCCCCCTCCTATCAATTTAGTACATGACCATTTATTTTCCAGCAAATTTGTTATTATCTATTTGTTAGTTATTTAGGGTTAGGTTAGGTTAAGATACTTTCTGGGCCGAGCGCTGCGGCTAGGATGGGCTAGGGGGCCGAGCGCTGCGGCCACGGGTTAGGTTAGTTAAGACACTTTCTGGGCCGAGCGCTGCGGCTAGGATGGNTACAAAATTGATAGGAGGGGGGGTGGGGGGGGGGTCCAAAAATCGTATACTAGGAAATTACCTGATGGAGTTAACCGACAAAGCAATTAAACATCGTCAACAGAAACTTGTATATACAAAATCACGACGCGACGTGCCACTCTCATAAATATACTAATTTAATTGAAAATTGTTGAAAAAGTGGTCATGTTCAAAATTGATAGGAGGGGGGGGGCGGTCCAAAAATCTTTCTCTAGGACGGACCCAATAAAGACATCGAGAACTACCTACCCACCAAAAATTAATATTTGAACAGAGATAAATCCGGTAAAATTCGTTCAAAATTTGCGCAAGTGAGATAATCCGAATGCCGCGGATGGGTTCACACAAACAGTTTTTTAGGTAGTGCACACTTTTTTAAATACAACACAATTCTTGAACACAATTTAATTTCAAGCTCATATTGATCACAAACGAAAATCTATTTGCGACGAAAAAATTTTAATTTTCCAAAAGTGGATTAAATTGCTGTTTAAGAATTGGGGCAGTTCCTATTTAAAATGGATTCATAGAGTTCGTGCACTATCTACCTATCCATCTATCTATTTACAGACAGCAGTAGCACCAATATTACGTCACGTGGAATTTAGCAATAATTTAGAAAACAGTAAATATTTCAGTTATTTACAGGTGGCAATAGATAGATATTTTAGAAAAATAATATTTTTATCAATATATATGGCGATTGTGACGACGTTTTATGTAATGCAATTGGCAAAATGTCGGAATCGACCGTAAAATTTGTTGTGGCAATATTTTTCTGTTGTGCAAGTTTTGTTTCTAGGGGGTACCATTCTTGCGAGGGCCGGGGGGGGGGGGTATTTTTTCCTTGTTTTAGAATAAAAAGGATTGCCGACTTGCATTTATGTAGACAGCAAGTGTTACGAAAAGTTATAAAAGATTTCGTGTTATAAATTGTTGCCAGAACAAATGTGGTATATTCCGGTAATTTCCTAGTATACGATTTTTGGACCCCCCCCCAAGGCCCCCACCCTGAAAAAAGGGGGGAGGGGAGTTCGTTCTTCATTTAAAATTTTTGCCAATTATACAAAAACCTCTAGCAAGGCTTTACATATTAAATAAAATAAAATAAATCGGATAAACCATATTATTGGGTTCATCCTAATATACGAAATCCTAGCCGCAGCGCTCGGCCCAAAAAGTGTCTTAACTAACCTAACCCATGGCGGCAATGCTCGGCCCCCTAGCCCATCCTAGCTGCAGCGCTCGGCCCAGAAAGTGTCTTAACCTAACCTAACCCTTAATAACAATTAAATACTAACTTACTAATTTCGTCATGTACAAAATTGATAGGAAGGGGGGGGGGGTCCAAAAATCGTTCACTAGGACAGACCCAACAAATGTCAAATATGTAACATATAACTGAAAAAATATTAAAGTAAAAATATTTTAAAACAAATTAAATTTGTTCAACTTTCAGATTAACAATGTCTGTAGTTATGCAGACGTGGTCTAGGGTTGGTAGAAGATGTTTATCATCATCCTCTAGTATTCAAGTTCTAGCCTTGTCTACTACCAGGTACTTGGTCCAGGGTTGGTAGAAGATGTTTATAATCATCCTCTAGCAGTTAAATTCTAGCCTTGTCTACTACAGCCAGGTACTTGGTCTAGGGTAGGTAGAAGATGTTATCATAATCCTCTAGTATATAAGTTCTAGCCTTGTCTACTACCAGGTACTTGGTCTAGGGCAGGTAAAAGATGATTATCATCTTCTAGTACTCAATTTCTAGCCTTGTCTACTACCAGGTACTTGGTCTAGGGTTGGTTTAGGAGTGGTCAAGTACATTGTCTGTTTCTTGTTTAAACTATTCCTTCGAGATTTCATTCTGTGTGTTTCATTTGTTTCTTTGGCTGTTTCTCCTTCTTTTTTAAAGTTTAAAATATGACTTGTGAAGAATTGCGAGATAGAAATTTTATGTTTTATCATAATATGTTTGGTTAATTCATTTTATTAATTTTGTAAGTTTCAATGTTGATTTCTTTTTTTCCGAAAGGGATTTCAAGCGGACCTCCATTCAAAGATGTCCGATTCACAACGGTACCCTTGCAACCCTTATTTGATCTCAAATGTGGAAGAAAACGTCAGTTTTCTGACTCGAATTCAGATATTTCTCTTGCTTTTTATAAAGTAAACATTCTTTAGGAACATAAACATGAATAATTCATACTTGATGAGACTTAGCTTTCAAGGGTACTTTCGTAAATCTGGCATAGCCATCTTTGCATGGAGGATGGAGAGTCACTTGTGATGACTCTAACAACCCCGTTAAATAAATCCAATAAGAAAAGATCCCAATATTTGTGAAAAATTATCTGTTTAGAACATATGCCAGTGTTCCTACCACATACCAATATCTCAAGGTTGACACTGCGGGAACAGATAACAGGTTCAATTTTTTTCTAAAAGTTCTAAAAGAAATATAAATTTAAAAAAAAATAAACAGTTACCAAAAAACAATGAACAGTTACCATAGTGTCATTATTGTTTTAGAACTTAATTACGTTATTTTACATAATACATTATAAACCAACATATAAGTTATATTTGCAATTATTTTTGAAATTTTTCACATTTGTTTCTTCGACAAATGGAGTTTCTTTACAGAGTTGGGTTGATTCAATTAAACAGACCTAAAGCATTGAACGCCCTCTGTGCTGGTCTTATGGACGAACTGGTTGTAGGTAATTCATCTTTAAACAAGATATAGTTATTTTTATTTTCTGTGTAATTGGTAACATTGATAGTTTTCTACCTATGTTCATTGTTCATTATATTATTATATTATTATATTATTATATTATTAATGAAGCGTAATTTTTAGTGACCCTTCATGCAAAGACATCAATACCCGATTTTCTGCGGTACCCTAGTCACCCTAATTCAGCGGTACCCTAATCACCCCAATTCAGCGGTACCCTAGTCACCCTAATTCAGTGGTACCCTAGTCACCCTAATTCAGTGGTACCCTAGTCACCCTAATTCAGCGGTATCCTAGTCACCCTAATTCAGCGGTACCCTAGTCGCCCTAATTCAGCGGTACCCTAGTCACCCTAATTCAGCGATACCTTAGTCACCCCAATTCAGCGGTACCCTAGTCACCCTAATTCAGCGGTACCCTAGTCACCCTAATTCAGCGGTACCCTAGTCACCCTTATTCAGCGGTATCCTAGTCACCCTAATTCAGCGGTACCCTAGTCACCCTAATTCAGCGGTACCCTAGTCACACTAATTCAGCGGTACCCTGTAGTCACCCTAATTCAGCGGTACCCTAGTCACCCTAACTCATATAAATATTTACCAAAAATATCCATGAAATCTTCAAAATATGTGAATTGTAATCATTCCCTTTAAATCTGTTAATGTTAATTGTAAACAATCTCTTTAACTCTGTTTAAAATTTGTGAATTGTGATTATTCCCTTTAAATCTTTTCAAAATATGTGAATTGGGAAAACCCCCTTCAAATCTGTACAAAACATGTGAATTAGGAACATCCACTTCAAATCTGTTCAATATATGTGAATTGGGAACTTTCCCTTCAAATCTGTTCAAAATATGTGAATTTGGAATATTCCATTTAAATCTGTTCAAAATTTGTGAATTGGGAACAATCCCTTTGACTCTGTTTAAAATATGTGGATTGGGAACAATCCCTTCAAATCTGTTCAAAATATGTGAATTGGGAACATTCCCTTAAAATCTGCTCAAAATATGTGAATTGGGAACAATCCCTTTAACTCTGTTCAAAATATGTGAATTGGGAACAATCCCTTCAAATCTGTACAAAATAAGTGAAATGGGAACAATCCTTATGAACTCTGTTCAAAATATGTGAATTGGGAACATTCCCTTCAAATCTGTTCAAAATTGTGAATTGGGTACACTCCCTATAAATTTGTTCAATATATGTGAATTGGGATTATTCCCTCCAAAGCTGCTCAAAATATGTGAATTTGGAACAATCCCTTTAAATCTGCTCAAAATATGTGAATTGGGAACATTCACTTCAAATCTGTTAAAAAGTGAAAATTGGGAACACTCCCTATAAATCTGTTCAATATATGTGAATTGGGAACATTCCCTTCAAAGCTGCTTAAAATATGTGAATTGGGAACATTCCCTTTAAATCTGTCGATTTGTAGATAAATATCAAACCTTCTTTCTAGGAGGAAAATGGTGGGAAATATTTACAAAAATATATCAGCTAAAAAAATCTAATTTGCAGATGGAACGATATTGCGCAATTTTAATTGTTCAAGAATGCACATTGCATAACTTGAACCGTCTATAATATATAATGGTAACAATTGCACGTTGCATAACTTGAACCGTCTAGAATATATAATGGTAACAATCAAACCATACTTGAGATGATTTTTGTTTAAGTATCTATTTCTAGATCTTCACAAAAAAAAATGTTCGTTATAATTGGAAATATTTGATTCGTCTTTATTTTTATTTTTTTTCGTTTAACCCCAGGAGTTAGTGGGGTCCAAAAATCGTTCTCTAGGAATATACCATTACACAAGTATACAGAGTTGCAGTTAGGACTAACCCAAGGGTGATTTACCCTGAACAGTGAAATGGAAATTTGTATTTATATATTACAGGCGAATGGTGGAAATTACATGAAATTAGAATATGATGGAATTTTATTTAAAAATAATTAAATAATACGTCACATTTTTGCACATTAAAGACACATAATTGCACATCAAAGTTATATTTCCGCCCCCTCTCATAGCATTCCAGTTACGCCTCCGTATCCTCCGTACGTATATGATAAATATTCATATTTGTGGGAATTATAAAGAATAAAAATAAAAACATAATAAAAGTTTTGAATGGCGTGATTTTGTTCGAAATGTAATACAATTATGAGACCAATTTACTGAACAACTTCTGATATTTTTCTAAAACTTGTGCGCTTCGGGCTAACCCTTCTGATATAATTTGGTTAACAAATAAAGCAAAGGGGGGGGGGGGGGGGAGATTTGTTAGAAAACACTTCGACATTATTTTTGAATTCAGGCGTTTGCTGCTGGAGCAGATATTAAAGAAATGCAGAACAGAACAATGGCAGCAAACTATACAGAAGCTTTTCTAGGGATATATTCATTGTTTATTGTTTCTTTAATTCAAAACAAAGGTTTTATTTATTTTCCTCTAAAAATAATTATTTTCTCCAATTCAGCAAATTTTTTTCATTTAATTTTTTAGATATTCAGATAGAACCGACAAGGGTGACTCTATTGCATAAAATCCGTGAAATTTGCGACTCTACGTAACTGGATGAGCTAAATATGAAATGAATCTGATTCTAAATCTGAATTTCAATGAAAAATAATTATACTCCAGCCAGTTGGGAGAATATTGCTAAGATGAGGAAACCTCTGATTGCTGCTGTAAACGGATTTGCTCTTGGTAGGTTGGATGATTTTACTACTCACATTCATTATTAAACACAGCTGACCTCACCTCAATAAACCATCAGGTTGCAAAGATGTAGGAATAAGAAATTTTTTGTTTGTGTCAAGCACTCAATTCCTTTAGAAATAAGGCAAAGTTCTGATTGTAACTATAGAATGGTGAATTGAGGGAAAATTGATCTGAAATCAGGAGACCTTCACGCGGATCCAAATATGTTTTTAGATTTTTTTATCCTTGTAAAACCTACATCAGGTCAGCTGTGTGAATTAAAGAGACTGTAGTCGTAATTTCGAGTGATTTCATTAATAAAGTAACTTACCCGATTCACAACGGTACCCTTGAAAGTTTTGTATGATCAAGGATGAATAAGATATTCATGTTTATTTAATTAAAACTTATTTCTTTTCAATAGTAGGAAATTCTCAGGATTAAGCACTTTTTAGCTTTAAAGACGATGTCTTCCAGGTTATTATTCAACTGTTGGGATCAAAGATGATGATCTATAGCGGATCAAACATGATGATCTATAGCGGATCAAACATGATGATCTATAGCGGATCAAACATGAAGATCTATAGCGGATCAAACATGATGATCTATAGCGGATCGGTCTCTTTAATTTACAACAAGAGTTCCTTTAAGATATCTCATCCCGAGATTAGATATATACAATCTTTACTATTTTTGTTTGTTTAAAATTTTAACTTTAATCGATAAGTGTCTTGTTATTTGAATTAATATTTACAAGGAGTTCCCGATAAGACAGTGTCACTTATCACTGAACATATTGAATTATAGGCTTTTAGGGCGCTTCACGCACCTCTGTATAGTATATATTAATAATCTTGTCCTCTTGGTGCTATATATGCAAACCCTTTTTTTACCTACATTTTGAATTACTTACAATTCAATTATGAATTTAAAGATTTAAAAAATAATTTTTTTTGTAGTACACATTCTGACAGACTTATCTGCATTGGTAACCTTTGAGGACCCACAAAAAAATGTTGACACGTTCTGACTTTTTTTGTTTGTTTACAAACAAGTTAAAACCCAGAGATTATACCGTGATCACTGGTCAGCATATATATCAATATAAAAACGCTGAAATTGAGATAACATACAAAGGCTGGCAATTATTTCAATGCAGTATCCGGTACTGAAATACTAAATATTAAAGATTGATCGGTGCAGTTTCCTTAGTTAACACTGTATTGATATATATGCAGATTGCAGACTACAGAATTACCCCGGAGATTTTAAGTGGACTGAGGCCGAATTAAAAGAATTTGAGCCGCGGCTCAAATATAGTTTGTTCTAGATTTAAGCCTGCCCTCAAATAAAACCGGTTTTTGGCGGATTTGAGTAATTAGTAATTTTAAACGACATGTTGAACACCGCATTTTCAGGTCCTATGTTTTACTCACCGTGTAGGAATCACGTCCTGCATGCCAAGATAGCAATGTCCAATTTACTCCTGTACCCTTGATCCCTTGAAACCTTAATATGATTAAACATGTGGTAGATAACTTCGAATTTCCGAGAATGTCTCCAAATTCTTTTTTAGAAGCACGACATTTGCAAGACATTATTGTTGAGAAACCACAAATGAAAATATGCAGGTTAAATGAAAAATATGGATATCTGATTCACTCTTGATCAGGCAACATTTTTAAGGGTACCATGGTAAATTGTGCATTACGCTTACAGTCTCCTTAAATGACAAAAGGAAACAACAAGTTAAACCTAAATGTAAAAAATAAAAATAAAATATTATTTTTCGGGTAAGGAAAATATAAATAGAAGAGTAAAAATTGGTTGGATGATAACGGCCTGCATTCACAAGTTTTAGTTTGGACAATTTGATTAATGAATTGGTGTAGGAGGAGGTTGTGAGGTTGCCATGATGTGTGATATAATATATGCTGGAGAGAAAGCTAAATTCGGTCAACCTGAGATTACAATTGGAACTATCCCAGGTATACAACAATTAACAATAAACACCTGCTTAAAATAGGGGAAAAACAAAAGTTACATTCCTCCCATCTTCATAATCAAACTCTCTAGTATGCTACCAAATCATTTTTTAATGTTAGTTATATTGAATTTTGGTGAAATTAATGATTTAAACGATGGAAGATTGTCTTTCACTTAAAGGGTTTCTAAGCGTAATTTCAAGTTGCCTTTCATTTAAAGGGAATGTTCCTTTTTTGACGGGAAGTCATTTGAAATTACGCTTACAGACCCTTAAAAATATCTAGATTCTAGAACTGAGTCGTTAAGGGGATGTGGAAATGTTAAAATTTTGAATTCATCCATGTATTTGTTCATGGCAGTCTTTAAAGATTAGTTTTCCTTGATAATGTATAAAAACATAAAAAATAATGTTAAACCTAAACGATTTTGATGTCAGCTATACTATGATGTAAATGAATTCTAAACTTTTCCACTAGAACTCGACAAAATCATTTTCATTTACTTATTGCTCAAGTATATTCTAGGTGGAGGCGGAACTCAGCGTCTTACTAGAGCTATTGGAAAATCACGGTATCGTTATATTTTTTAATTTTATCAAACGCAGTTTTAGGGTATTGCTGTCCATCTAAATAAGATTGCAAAAGTGGTTTCCGCAAGCCAATTTTTACTTGTTCGGAAATAAAAAAAAACTTATCTTATTTAGAGTGAAAAAAAGTAAAACTATAGTACGTATCTAAATACATACTGGAAAGATATTAGAGCCTTTCTGTTCACCTGTAAGATCTAAGTTTTAAAAACGTTTTTATGATCTAACCAAATGATCCTGATTTTTTTTGTGTAGACCTGACTTCTTCAGTTTTTACATTAATTAATAGCTTTGGAACCCTACTCTGATTGAGGTTTTCTCACTAAAAATCGACCAACACTAACTCAATTAATTTTAAAACCGAACTAAGAACATTCCCCTAGTTCCTCTGAGTTCCTAATCAAAATTTAAGGCAAACCGGTCAAGGGTTTGATGAGTTTTGATTCAAAATTTCAAAATACGACATTATTCGATCATTTGTTTCTAAAAGCGAAGGCAATATTGTTAAGTGTATTTAATTAGTTATGCTTGTCCTTCTTTGCAAATGTTTGTCTGATAATTTAAAAGCACCGACTAGGAATAAATCAAATTTATTAAGTTTTTTGATTGGGTGTTATTTGAGAATGTGAACACTGAATTCCGTTTGATTAGAAAACACTTGTATTTTGCCTGTCTAAGCAGTTTTTATTTGTTTTACATAATGTGATCACACATCTGTGAATTATATCACTTAAGTTTGTTAGAGCAAGAAGATAGATTGATTTCAATATTTATCATATTTTCTAATTATATTAAAGAAAACTGTGAGTATGGTTGTGATTTCAAGCGGTAAGCCTGAATCACAACGGTATCCTTTGATTTCATAAAGAGCTTGGAAGTTATCGTCTCTTTTGTCCAGGTTGAGTGTTATATTACAATGTTCTCTACTGCTTCGATAAGCATAAATCCGCAAGTCACGTTATAGAGAATCAACAGTAATTAATAATCAATTTTTAAAGCGGAAGTGATAAATTGTTCAGGCAAAACAAAGATATCGTTGTGAATCGAACATTTCTTTAAACGGATGGTCACTTGAAATTACGCCTACAGTCACTGTCATCATCATAACAATGTTAAATAATTTTAATTTCAAGATTGAAAATCACAATTCTGATTATTTTCTAAAATATAAAATCTTGAAACTTAGTGATTATTTGTGAAAAAAAAGGTGAATAGTGAATATCTGATTCATAAAAGAATTAAATTGGAAAGAATTAGTTTTCTAATAGAATACATTATATACTGAATAGATAAGAATGTGTTATTAAAGGAATTTACGATATTACGACCAAATATTTAATGAAAATGAAAATATATGTATACAAAAAACTTCGTCGTTATTTTGCTTGGAAAGAAACTTTGATTAGAATAACTCCGTTTCGTTGGCAAAGGTTCAATTGCCATTGTTGTAGATGTGGCTTTTCACTATTGTTGTAGATATGGTTCTTCACTTTAGATTTAGACGGCAGTCCCTTAAAAATTAACTTGCAGGGCAATGGAGATGAATTTGACCGGGGTTCCCATCAACGCAAAGGAGGCTTCAAGCTACGGCCTTGTCTCAAAAGTAGGATATTTAATATTTATGGGTTTATTCTTTTATGTTCTCTGCCATTTGTCTGCTTTCATTTCAAAACAAATTTCAATTGATTGAACTGTTGTATTTGTCAGTGACTTAATTGATAAATTATGAATTATTGTATTAAATCCAATTTGTTACGTTAAAAGTTTTCTTTCACCGCACGGTTTAAAAATATGCAGGTTTACCTAAAAAGATGAGACTCTGACCATGACATAAAACTCTTTAAATATTTCGTATTTTGGGTAACTTAAGTTGAATACTTCATATGGTAAGGGAGATTTAAATATAATATCAATCTCTCGAAAGTCGATAACTGAGCATGCTAGTTTTTTAATTCTTTATACTATAAATCTTAAGTGGTGAAAAATTATTAGTAGTTAATTATTTTTATTTTGTTAAGGTCTTCCCTCCTGAAACCCTTGTCGAGGAAGCAATTAAAACTGCCGACAAGATTTCCTCTCACTCTAAAATCACTGTTCAGATGTGCAAGGAAACCCAACCATTTAAAATATTTTGAAAGATAAAACAAGGAATTTTTATGTTCACCAGCAGTTCCTGTGCACTATATTGTTAGTAGAAACCCATTTTGTGGAATTACCCAAATTTTCCCCCTTTTAAAAGACACGATTTGTAAGGTTGCCTCTAACATTGATGGCAATGTTTGATTTTTATGCAACTTGAGATATAGTGTTTTACAACTTTTATGAAATGGAAGTCTATTTTAATACTATTGGGGTACCAACAAAATCCTTGGCTCTGATTGGTCCGATTTTTAAAACATATAGAACTCTGTATTCTCATTGGTTGAACGGTTTAGGAAGCGACAAATGCCGCGTATGAACTCACTTTAGCAGAAGGATTAAGATTTGAGAAGCGCATGTTCCATTCTACATTCGCAACTGAAGACAGGGACAAATTTATTCAAATTTTCATCATATTTGACCCCCCCCCCACACTTTTTTTTAACAATTTAAAATATTTACATTTTACAACCTATGATGTATTTTGGGATAATGTTTGTTGTACAACATGACACTTCTTTTCGAATTCAATGAAATCCTTAATAAATTTGAACTGTAGGAAAGAGGGAATGACGGCCTTTGTCGAGAAGCGTAAACCCAACTGGACTGATCAATAAGAAGATCTGTTTTGATCAAAAAAGCGATTGATTTATTTTAACATGGAATAACAAAATACTGATCTAGCCTGGATTGATTATTAAATCTAGAATTATGCCATGTTTAGTTTCTAGTCAGTTCTCTACTTGTACTATATTGCATGACTGATGAACATTAGCCACAATTGTGATTAGCATGATTCTAAAACAGGACTTGCAGTCGATAATAGGTCACAGAGCTCTAATAGTGCATTTTATGCAAAATATCTCCTCAACCTTGCACTACGTTTGGGTGCCTGGGTCTTCGAGTTAATAAACTTGTTCTGCACATAGTAAACCAATTTGTTTCACGTCTAATGGGTAAAAGTGAAAAGGATAAATCGGGAAACCGTAGATTTATATATTTAATATTTATATTTTCAGAATACTGTCGTTTCAAGAATGGAGGAGGAGGATGATTATGAGAAGTTGGGTGAGATACTTTTAACAAAATTTGTTTTAAAAAAACAATCAATTTTAAATTCTAAATAAATGATTATAATGTTATAGAACATAGCTTAGTATATTTCACATCCTTAAATTGCATTTACACTTTCAACCAATTCTGTTATAATTTGTTATTGAGATTTTATTTCTACTCTGATGCATCTCTTTTCTGCGTTGAATGGAAAAACTTGCTTGAACAGTAAACAGAAGTTGCACCCCCCCCCCCCTGAAATGTGCTACTTCAAAAAGTTATGGGGAATTCAGCAAACACAAAATTGCAATTACTTTGGATTGGGTTTTTGAGGTGGCAAACTTTTTTTTTGAGGCAGGGAGGGTGGGGTGATGTCTTCAAGTCTTTTCTTAAATTCTTGACGTACAAAATAAAATAAAGTAGGTAAAATACCTGCATGCCGTAGGCGGCAGGAATATATGTTTTCTTCGAAATATTTAATTTTACCTTTCATTATTAGGAAGGTTTTTGGCCACGCATAGTATTCGGAGCAAAATTATTTTGATGGAAAAATAAGAGAATTTATTTATTTTATTAGTTGGAGTTGGAATGGTTGGCAGCATGGTGGCAGGAGCCTTCGCAGGAACAGCAGAACATATCGTTATGTATCCTGTTGATAGTGTTAAGGTTGGCTCATGTTTATTTTTATCAGCATCTGAATTAATATTGTGCGAGAATTAGTCCTAAATATCATTGCATTTGACCTCAAAAGCTAAAATTATTGGCTGGATTTTGACACTTGAAAAAAAAAAATATTTATGAAAATTTCACCTTCCCCAATTTGATAAATTTTGAATAAAATAAGTCCAATAACTGGTTTCGGATAAGCATTAAAAACAATTAAGAAGAAAATTTTTATTTATGCAAAATTCGCTATACCAGTCCTTTGGTCATAGGCAAATATGACGCGAATGCAAATTCTCAATTTATTATTAAAAACGCGAATGTAAGCCCTGAAAACATTATTATTATTATTATTAAGGGAGGTATATATGTCCTTGAAATTATTAATTTGTTTAAAGACGCGTATGCATTATGCAAGCCTTGAAAATAAAATCATTATTAATTTGTTGAAGTTTCAAATGCAAGCCCTGAAATCATTATTATTTTTGAAGACGCGTATGCAAGCGCGGAAATCATTAGTATTATTGAAGACGCGTATGCAAAGCCCTGAAAACATTATTATTATCGAAGACGCGTATGCAAGCGCGGAAATCATTAGTATTATTGAAGAAGCGTATGCAAGCGCTGAAATCATTAGTATTATTGAAGACGCGTATGCAAGCCCTGATATAATTATTATTATTGAAGACGCGTATGCAAGCGCGGAAATCATTAGTATTATTGAAGACGCGTATGCAAGCCCTGATATAATTATTATTATTGAAGACGCGTATGCAAGCGCGGAAATCATTAGTATTATTGAAGACGCGTATGCAAGCCCTGATATAATTATTATTATTGAAGACGCGTATGCAAGCCCTGAAATGTGAGAAGAAACTTGCAACTGGTATTTTCACAAATGTTCTGGCAATGATAAAAGAAGAAGGAGCACTCCGGCCTATGCGGGTAAATATTATTTTGAAACTTTTGAAATTTTAGAAGACTTTGTTTTAAGAGTCACCCTCCAGTTAAAAAAAGTGGAATGCCTGATTTAAAAAGGTATTTCCACCTGAGCAACAATAGGAAAGACATCGTAGATATTATTGAATGGTTTTTGTAAATTACGTTCTTTGAGACAAAAATCTGCAGAACCAGAAATAGAAATGGCCAATTTTCAGCATGAAAAACATATGTTCATCATTAAAGGTTATAAGGGTTCTCTTGTATGCATCATTGAGTACATTTTTACCTGTTTGCTAATATATAGTTTGATTGATTGATTGATTACTTGACTGATTGCTTGCTTGATTGATTGTAAATAATCGATTGGATTCGTGGAGTGGTTGGTTATTTGATTGGTCAATCTGGGTGCACATGAATTGATTGATTTAGTGGCTGGATGACTGATCAATTGATTTGTTATTCCATTTGATTAGCTCCACTGTATTAGGGAGCTACTGTTGTTGTTGCTGGTTCAGCACCTGCGCATGCGCTTTACTTCACAGGATACGAACAGATTAAGGTAAGATAGATAGTCAAAGTAGGTACTGTACAGAACAGGAATGGCAGAGGCAGAATTTTTCTTAGAATGAGATTATAAGTTTTAATATTTCTAAGACAAAATAATTATTTACCTTTGTCTCTTGCCTAAAAATTCTTGATTTATTTATTTTATTTCAATTGGGTTGCCCCCTTTTTTGCTCCTTTCACCAATCAAGGTGTCTTCTCCATTTTAAATATTAAGTAATATATATTTTGTGCCTTTATTTTTAAAATCATATGTCTCTTGAGTCGAAGCCTATTTTCAGATTATATATTTCTATAAACTGAAAGCATGTTACAGTGTTATACAAAATGTAGTTTCCCTAAATTCTATCGCTTGTTTTAGAAATGGTATTTCAATAGTCGGAGGTTTAAATCTTTACCAGACTCTGTTGGACACGGAGCAGCAGGAGCTGTGGCAACCATCTGTCATGACGCTATAATGACCCCTGCTGAAGGTAAGAAAGAATCCAATCTGGGGTGTATATTTTCTTGATAAATCATTCCGCCCTTCAGAAAATCATAATTTTCCCCATAATTTTTTTCTCACTAAATGGGAGAAAATAAATGATTTCAAATGTGAAATGCTATGGTTTGGAGGGTGATTTAAAGGTCTAGTTAGAACAGGGGCGGGGTAGTGCACCCTGCTGCCTGGGCGGTCTGGGGGGCCCACAATGGGGTCTCTTGCAGATTTCATTTCCTTATGATTCCTTATTCAATCTGAAAACAAAGAACTTGCATCATATTGTTTAACAAACCACAGATGGTTTAAATAGGGTTTATCTTATTTCTTAATTTCAATTTTGTCTTGATAAATTTTTATTTGAAATTGATATTGATCGATAGTTTGGTATCATGCTTTGTAGTCATATGCTAATATGGCATCCTCTATTGACATTCACCCTTTCTACATAAACTGTAGAATTTGATTTAACTTTTTCTTATGTTTTACCCATACCTTCAGTCTATGCAAGCCGCAGCGCTCGGTCCCTCTAGTTGGCACGCTAAAGACCGTAGGCAAGGGATAATGTCCTGTTATACAATTTTAAGTCACCTGTACAAACGAGTAATGAAATTTTAACAAATGTAATTGAATTAAATTTAATTTAGTATTTTTTTTAATATTTGGTGTTCCATGTATTGTATATTGTATTGTATATTGTATATGTATTGATATAATTATTTTAGCTGTAAAACAGAGAATGCAGATGTGCTGTTCTAAATATACAAGATGGACACTGTGTGCTAAATCTATATACAGGAAGACAATCCATAATCATCAATCAAGAAGAAAAATTAATACTATTTTTATCTTAAAATAAAATTATATTCCGTAGGATTATTTTAAACCAATTAGAGTAGTGATTAAACAAAGCGTACACAGTTGATCTAATATATATATATTCATAATTATTGACCTCGAATATTTTCTAACTTGTTTTTTTTTCATTTGTTACAAAGAAAAAAGTCCTCGGAAGAAATGACATTTTTCTGTGATTGATTGATTGATTGATTGATCGGTTTATTAGAGAGGAGGGAGGGCGAGCTTTCTTTAGAGCATATACTACTCAGCTCAGTATGAATATACCATTCCAGGTTAGTAATCATTCGCAACGTAACTATCGTAGACTTTCAAATTGGAAGAAGAACCATATCGGCAATTTTTTCCCTTGTTTAGCTAGGCGCACTCTTTAGAAGTCAAACCCGTAATTTTAGGATTAAGAGAGATGTCTTCGTCATCATCTATGAGATACAGTGTGTCCCAACAAACATGACAGTAGTAAGACGGGTTTTTATCTTTAAAGTTTGGAGACATTCATTCCTGTACCTATTTTTATAGACGTAGAATTCTAGAATAATCACAAACTATTGGCAGCATTGGCATTTTCAAAATGTGGTCTGCCTTTTTTTGTGCTGTCAATATTACCGGAGATATAAAGAAACTTGTTCAGATTTCAAAAAATTTGGTTAAACTAAATAAAATTGAAATCTGAACGAAATTTTTAATACCTCCGGTAAAATTGACAGTACAAAAAAGACAGACCATATTTTGGAAATGCCAGGACTATGAGAATTTTGTGGCAATTTTTTCAAGAATTATATATGTTAAAATAGGTTGACGACTTAATGTCGCCAAAAAATTCAAAGAGTTTTGCTACTGTCATGTTTCTTGGGACACCCTGTACATTTATTTTCTGCCCAGTAATTAAAACCTTTCCCTGTATATTAAACTCTACATAAGTAGTATTTGTTAAAATTTAAACCTTTAACTATGCAGGCCTGCGGGTGAATGTTTTCCAAAAAAAAAAAAAATTTCGTGTGTAAAATTTGTTTGGGGTTTTATTCATAAAATTAGGGAAAATTAAATATTTTTAAGAGAATGGGAAATTAAATGAATTTTTGGGTAAAAAGGTTTCATAAAGATTTTAAAAATATTGTGCTTCTGGGGGGGGGGGGGGG